GGGAGATATTTGGTCGGATCTTGTTTTTACCAAAACCAAACGTGCGGCATAGTTCAAAACTAGCTAAAACTCGTTGCAGCTTACGATACTCTAAGTTGCGACATGGAGAAAGCATATATCACTCCCATCTTTGCTCAGATACTTGCTTAATCTACTGACAAATAACAACAACAATAATAGTAATAATAATAATAATAATGATGATGATAATAATAATAATAATAATAATGTGGCATATGAAAACCGTAGTGATCCCTGTGGTTGTTGGTGCGCTTGGTACAGTGAAGAAGGGTATGGTAGAAAACATCAAGAAAGTATCAGAGAGAGCTACTATGACAGAGATTCAAAAGATCTGCACGCTGGGATCTGCACGAATCCTCAGAAAGGTGCTCAGTGTATGAACAGAATGATTGACTTGAGTGACTGACGCTCTAGGTGCATGGTTTGCGCCCGGCTGATGCACAAAAAGAACACCAGCAAAGACTGTGATAATAGAGACAATAATAATAATAATAATAATAAATTAAATTTGAATTAAAGTAAAAAAGACTACGGCAAAGACTGATCAAACAACGTGAAAAAGGCTGACGTATACAATGTTTCGACTGGCCAATATCAGTCTTCAAATTTGTATAGCGCCTATCCCATGCTGCTCTAGGCGCTTTACACACAACATTCCAAACAACTAAGTAAATTTTAACTTTCCAAACTTTAAATAAATAATCAAAAAGTAAATTAATTAAAATTGAGATAAAAATGGCCATAATATGTAGATTTGGCCCGGGCCAAAAGCTAAGCTCCCATTAAAAAATTTATAACTTAAATCAAACAATTAACTTGTAATCCACACAGATCAGTTAACTTTAAGGCACGTTCATGTGACTTTTGAGGGAAAGGCAAAGTGATTTTAGAGAAAAATAATACCAAGTTAATAGCTAAAAGGGAGGCCAAAATGAAGCCGAATTTTTTGTGTTCGACACGTTAACTATACAGAATCTTGCCAACAAACCTGATGGCGTGGAAACCATCTTCCTTAAATTTGACCAACTATTTGTGCAGCGACTTCTACCGTCACGATTGACTTCAAACTTGCAGATATAACACTAGAGAAATCTGAGGCTTATTTGCCGAAGTTAGAGAAAAATCTGTCTTAAGGTTTCGAAATTATTGACATTTTTTGTAAAAATGCGGTTTTAAATATATGTTGATACCTCAAAAATTTTCATACCTACAATAAAATAAATAACATTTTTTTAAAGTTCAATCATTCTTTATTAAGGATGTCAAAAATCCTGCCAAAAAAACGCGATTCAAAAACATAACCAACGCGCACATAAATAGGTTCAGGCCGCCTTAAGTGTGCTTGTCTCTAAATACAAATGCGAAAGCTCGCTCGTTTATTTTCCCTAACTTGTCAGTGGCGACTTTGCTGCAAAAGTGCCACGTTTCGGAACAATAGTTAAAACGCGGAGCAATGAAAGATAAATACAAATCACGTCTAATTTCGAAAGGTAACCTTTGTTTTCATGCGTCTTTGTACCGCTAGTATTGCGACACGTGAACCTCCGACACGTGATTGTCAAACTTGGTCGTCGGTATTAACGCCATACATCTCCAAATGAGAAGTTATGCCGGGAATCAGGATGGTATTTTCACACCTGTAAAGTCGGTTTGTTTTCGGTTTTACCGATGAAAAGGCTTCAGTGAGAATTGTTTCTTATGAGACCGTTCAGATCGAACCATTTATGAAAATAATAAAATAGGCGAATAGGAGCGATAGATTATAGTTTAATAGCATCATAAAACAAAGATGATTGAAACTAGCCATATTTTAAAAGGCGTTCCTTTATTAACTTGGAAGGTTCCTTGTCAAAAATGCTGAGTATTGAAATAGGGTAGAAACTAGAACAGTGGAATAGTGCGGCTTCTGTAAGCATACAACTAAATCTAAATCTGCGGACCCAAGTTAGGTATAACGTGCGAAGTTAACGCTTGAGAAGAGTTGCGCTTAGCTGCCACGAGGAGATTTTATTTCAATAGGTTTTCGTTACTCAGGGGCACCCAACGAAAATAAGTTCAAAACCACTTAAAAATAGAATTGTTGAACGTATTTTAGTATTTAAACGGTAGATACAGGCATATTTTTATCCCCTAAAAATTTTTCATCTGTTCGGATTTCCTAGCTGAAGGTCTAGTGATCCGAAAATTATGTGGATCAAAACTTACCTTTTCGAAAATTTCAGCCAGTAAAGGGTCCCGAAAATTCTAGGTGACCTTTTTAGGGTAAAAATCCGTTAAAAATGGGCACTTATACCATTTTTTAGATGTTCGAAAATCCCAAGAAAGGCAGGCAAGCAAGAAATTTTACAACAAATGTTACGAAAATTCTAGATCTCAAATCGTCTTCCGAAGAGATATTTTCCAAAATCAACGTTGGGTGCCCCTGGGTACTGTTCAAGAAAAAAATTTTCAACATTGTTGCCTGGATCTTTGTGCCTGAAAATCATAGTTACCTGTCTCTTAGAAAAAATGTTCTGTATAAAATTGCATATTTGAAGTAAATCATCTTTAGAGGCAAGATCATAATAACTCATGATTACAAAGGTAAGCGAGTCAGTATTACCATTACTATTGTTTCACAACGATCCATTTCTTAAACAAACATAATACCTTTTCAAAGAGCTCTTCATTAGGCAAATGGCTAAGCTTTGTGCAGAATTAAAATGCGAATTGGTGGTTTGGATCCAGGCAGGTAACCTGTAACAAATGCAAGACTTTTTAAAGCCAAAAAAAATGTCTGCAGCCTCGCTCAAACTACTGTTGTTTCACCGGACCATATCCAGAAAAGTATCTGTTCAGTTCATGTAGATTTACAAACAAAGCAAACATCCGGTTACGAAACATCTAGCATATACCTTACTCTTGAACCCGAGGAAAAAGATGAACCGCATGGTGTTAAGACCTTTCTAGAAATTTAGTGACAAAATCAAATAGCCTCATCATGTCACGAATATTGAAGCTGGAAAAGCTTTTAACAAGAAAATCAATGCGCAATTGAAAAATAAACATGAAAGATGAATGCAGTCGGTAATGCGGCATGTTTATACCGGCGACCTGCACCTAAAATGGATATTCTCGGCACCTCCTAACGCGTCGGGAAAATGTCAGAAGGAGCTTAACTGACTTATTTTGTTAGACAAAATTATTTTTATCACTCTCATCATAATTCAAAATAAAACTTTTGCAAATCAACTTAGCATAGCTGTAAAAGTTCCTTTTTCTGATCAACAAAGCTTGAAGTACGCAACGGGTAAATGAACAAGAAAAAGATATATTTTCGTGCAGCTTAATTGCAAACTTGATTTCTTAAAAAGAGCCCGGAATTTATTACCCGAACAATCGCAACATCAACGAGCTCGTGCGACATTCTTTAAGCTGTGCTACTAACAATAAGTTAACAAGACGTCACAAGAAAACAATAGAAATCAATGGACTTTGTTGCTAAGTTATTCACAACACCACAGGAAAAGGCATGTAAAACAGCTGAGGTTAAGTTTCATCGTCATTTTTAAACTGTTTACCTGCATTACAGCTTTTTTTATTTGGAGACCTTGGAAAACGTTTTGAAAGGATAAGGAAACCTGAGAGTAGCAATCAGAATATTCAAAACATTGCGATGAGGTAAGAAGACATTGTAATTAGCTAGAAACTATATATCAGAATAAATTGAAAACGTACAAGAAAAATAACATAAGATGAGCACCAACTTATAATGCTTAATTAACCACCAAATTATTTCGTAAGTTTTACTATATGTTAGTATCGTTTCCTGAGCTATCGAGGTAACATGAATTTACACGGTCGTTCGCCAAGATGTTTAATGTTTTATGAAGCTTTGCAACCTTCGTAGTAGTTTATCTTTACAGATGAAGCAATGCAACAAAGATCAAAAAAGAAAAAGTTGCCAAACCATTTGCAATAATTTACGCTTCTTGGCTCTACATGTATAATTCAGAAATAAGTAAAATGCAATGCCCGTAAAAATATATGTTTATTAAAAGTAATGATATTCCCCGTGAGTTTTCGTTGCGATATTTATAGAACTAATGGCTGGGTAAACGAAGCACGTAATGCAAATTTTAGAGCCTGTAAATTAAGTATTGCGTGGAATGAATTGTTGATTTTAAGGGTGAAGAGGCGTGCAGAATCTTAAGTGACATCTCTTGGTAAACACTATTGCCTTAAAGAATATCTTAAATATTCCCTCATATCGATTTCGACAAACTGCGACACATTTCCACTGGCTGCATTAAATTGCACCTTCGTCACTAACTCGTATGTCAAAATCGACACACTTGTCACAAAATAACCGTTCGTTTTAATCAAAGCGCCCAAATGAGTTCCTCTTCCTTTTCAATTTTGCAAGCTGCAACGTTCTACAAATAGCGACTCTTTGCTTCCACTTCGGAATTCACCAAGTCATTTCATTTATTACTAAAGGTATAGTTAAATGTATTTTACTTCTAGGAAAGTAGCCTATTATTTGTAGTTAATTAAGATTTACGGTTGGCTTTGGCTGTTTAGTAAGACAGCGTAAGGCACCAAAATTTTAGGCTGTATAATTCTTTTATGTTTCTTTTATGAATCTTCAGTTCTAGAAGATGAATTTCTGGTGCAGAAAAATCTATCTAGATTTCTGAACTTCCAAAATAATAATAATAACTTTGCTGTTTTCATTTGAAAAATAGCGTGGAATCTTTTAAAAGATATTTTCAGGAGAAAAAAAAAACGATCAAAAAAAAGTCACGCAATAATACATTGAGGAATCTGTTTGGATGGAAAGATGTTATAAAAAAGGGGGAAAACAAATTGAAATAAAATTTTGTTCATATCGAACGTGTTATAATTTTTCTTCGTGAAATCGTACATGTTTTATTCTGTGACAAAGCTGTTTTCGTTTATTCTTCCGGTGGTTAAACGTTGTGTTGTCTTTAATACAGATGGAGCTTTGGTGGATCATTTTAGCTGGTTGCGGAGGCGGACTTCTCTTGATTGCATACGTGGGTTTTGTCATCTATAAAATTGTTCGTCATAGAAAGAGGTAAGACCTGTTTTTAACGGCTAAAAAGCTTTAGATATAAATTAAAAGTACGCCTCCATAAATGTCTAGCCGGTGACGCAGAGGTTATAATGCATAAACCTTTATCGAAGCGGTGGATATTTGAAAACCTATCATTATTTGGAACGTTCTTATACAGGAAGCCCAAGCTTAACAAAAATATGAAATAAGAAACCTTGTATGGCGTATAACTTTATTAAATTATTATTGTTGTTACTTACGATTGTAAATTATTACGTAATAGAACCTGTTATAACTTCCCCCTTTAAAACGATAGTTTTTTCCAGTCCTTTGGCATCTTGTTATACCAGGGCAAACAAGAACTCAAACGTAGGTGTAAAGAAGGTCTCAGGTATTTAGAATAATTATTCATGAATCTCCATATGTCACCTGTTTATTACAGCTTGGACACGAATTTTCATGAACTTATCGCTTATATAACGGGTTTTCTTGAACTGCGACGTAATAACGCAGTTGCTTCAGAGTTTTCATGGAGTTCTTGCAGGTAGTGCTTTATTTCTCGCTGACCGGCGAAAAATAAATTTCTGCACATTCACACCCACTGCGTGTAATATAGTTCAGTCCAGTAAATTTTTATGTGCAATAGATCACATTTGAGAACTGCGGATGAAACCGAAAGATTGTGGATACATACGATCCCCGAATCCCGGTCACTGACGAAAAGGATTTGGTTGATAATGTGGGCATCCACATTCAGTTCAGTCTAGTCTTTTGTTTCTCCGTTGTCCTCCATCTTTTGGCCTGTAACTAAACTAACTTCAGTCCTATAACCTTGGAAATCCGTCAAAACATATGTATATTCCCAAAATTTAGAGCTTGTAAAATGTCAGACTGCGAGCCGTCTTTACTTGGTCTTTTAGTTGGTGGGATAGTTGGTACAGATGCGCGTCTAGACCTCCCCTCTCGCGTGAAATCCCTCCATTTTCGGAGCGACCGTTCGCAGTCAAGCATAAAGCCACATGTTTACAAACATATAAACAGAATTACTAGTAGAACAAACTTGCTTGTTGTGTCTTTCAAAGGTTTTTCATTTATTGCGTTCTTAATTTCGGTTGCAGGAAGTACCAAAGGGACCCGGAGGGACTGACGGACGGTAGAGATTGGACAGTCCACATACACGAACATTTCGAAAGAAGAGTAGACGGTCTGTGTATGGATACCATTTCAGGTTCGGCTAAGCTTCGTCGCAAGCCCATTATTCCAGGGGAAGAGGAAGCTGTATTACAATCTATTTTCAAGGTATCAAGCCCACCAAATGTTCCAAAAGACAAGCACGACGGCCCACAAAGAACATCAGGCGATATGTCACGATTAAACGGGGTAACTGAACCTGGTAATACAAGTCCTAAAGTAATCCAAAGATCTGAATACACCTGGGAGAATTTACTACGTCAACCGAGTGATGTGAGGATGACACGAAGCCACACCATTAATTATGATCTCACAGACTACAGATCACAAATGAGGCTGGATGCAACAACTCGTTCTTTGAATTTTGACAGAGACCTCCAAAGACGGCAGCAAAAAGTTAGAAGTAAATCCCTTAGGGCACACAAATCCCGTGAACCAGAATCAAACAACTTAATTTCTGTCGACGAAACAATACCATTTACCAGAATAACTGTCTGCGAGAGAGCTGGTCAGGACATTCACAAAAACGAAAGCTCGGAAAAAAGCCCTCTGTGCACAAATACTATGAAGACGGCGAATGAACACAGCAAAAGCGACAGGTCCACTGATAAAAGCAGACGAGTTAGCCGATCAGGGTCTGTACCATCTGTGCGAGCCAGGGAAATGGTCCTACAACGTGAAGGAGACGTTCTTCCACGAGAAAGAAGTGAATCTCTCCGATGGATTCCAGAGCCTGATTATCAGTTGGAGTCGATGGAGGAAATTGTAAAAAGTGTAAATAGCCTTGACACAAAAGAACGCCTCGAGAGGAGTAATCGAAACAAGGATCTAGTTAATTTTCAAGCAAATAAAACCCAAGATGTGAATAAAACAAAGAGGATCAGCAGATCCGGGTCGGCGCCTTCCACCCAAGCCAAGGAAACAGTAATGAAAAATGAAGCGGACGGACCCCAACGGAAAAGAAGTGTATCACTTCGATGGATTCCAGAGCCAGACTACCAATCTGTCACGGTTGATGAGCTTGTCTCCCCAACTCAATCTACCGAAGAAGATTATCACAGACAAAAAGCAATACGCAGTGAGTCTGGAAGTGGGGAACTAGTCGGCATTAAGAAAACAGAAAATTTGGACAGAAATAAGAACGAATCGTCTAGTCCTTTCAGCAAAGACGGTGGTGATTTTGTTCGTAAATTCTCAATACCGGGTGTTGCCCAGCGTATATCGACAGATAAGGCTTTAGAGAAAAGCCTTGCCACTGTAAGTGACTTACATAATGAAGAAGCGGGCTTAGACAAGGATCGCATTCAGGCTTTCGATCATCAAATTCCACCAGAAAGGCCAAACTCTGGCCAGTACGAAGGTACTACAGCCAAACGAAATACAGTTGATGAAAGAGCAGCGAACCAAGAACATTCCAATAGCAACAGAGACCCAGAAACACGGGTAAATCTTAAGAAAACACCAGCAGCAGAAGAAAAGAGACATGAATATGTTATAGGGAATACCCAAAGTGTCGTATCTTCTGTTAATAAACCATCAGAAGTCGCATCGATTGGGAAAATGAAAATCGTAAAAAACGAGACTCGCCCTTGGATGGTCAGTCAGGAAAGAACTCTCAAGTATCCAATAAAAGACAATTCCGCGACTGGTTTAAATTCAACTTCCACACAGCCAAAATCACAACCGACGTCGACGGGAAATGCGGCTTATGAACACAACAAACCTGACCTGGGGTCACGTCTAAGCACAAGTGACCTGGTAAAGGCCGCTTTGAGGAATCACACCAAGAGCAACGACTTTAATAACAATAACGTAGTCACTATGCCATTAACTACAACAGCGCCACCTTCAGACAATCAAGTTCTGGAGGTATCAGATATAGCCCTCAAAGCAGACTCGAGTTTGGCAGCAACCGACCTAAACCCGAATGTCTCAACACCAAGAGATAACGACGCCGGTCTCACACTTGAAGAAAGGAAGAAACATTGGAAGCGTGAGCAGATAGTCGATCAGCTACATAGTGCTCGACAAAATAACGTAAACCAGAACTTCATATTTGGAACGGGTCTAGCGTACCAGTCTTGTATGCCAGAACTGCAAAACAAACTAAAACAACTAACAATGACAAAGTAATACTCTGCCCACTATTACTTGCCAGCAAAACACTCCACAAAACACTCAGTCAATATTACACTTTCACTCGCAGAGGAGGGCTATATAGATAAAAAGATAATAGTCCTAGAAAGGTGCTTTTCAAAATTGGTATCCTACGATCACATCGATTCAGCTGCGAAGGGAAAAATAGAGAACGTTTGCGAGCTCGCTCGCAGTCAGAAACGAGACTTAGAAGAGAAATAACCCTCACAGCTGTTTCGAGTCCAAACAAAGACAGCATGAAGAGCAGTCAGGATTGTTTGCTCTATGAATTGGCAGTGTCCACATTGCCTTGATAAAGGCTTCAATCATCTAGCTGCTAGAAAGTAAACCTAACCAACAGTTTGCAAGCAATAAGCGTTTTTTTCACAAAGTAGGTTTGTACGAATAGCTATATTCAAAACAAGGTTTTCTATTACAAAAAGTATTCTTCAACACCAAAAAATTGGTTGAAAGTTTAGAGAGCTTTCGGAATCAAAATCCGTATCCCTTCATCAGTGATGACGTTTACTGTTATTCGCAGCCTCGTTTTGATGAGGCTGCAAAACTTTAAATTGTTCCATAAATTGTGGGAAGGCTGTAGCCCTGATCAATACTAGCCAAGAGAGCATATCCTCTCTTGTCCTAACAGAGATGAAAAAGTAATTTCGCTAGAAAGAGACGAGAACGCGATTCCATTAAGAGCGACGGTCAGGAAAAATCGATTTCTTTCATTTTTATCCATAGAAAGCGTTTTGCTGCCGGGCATCAGCCGGCAGCAGACCATATTCTTGAGCGATTTGAGATATTTCGTTCAATGGTTCCATGGTTCGATGGTTCAATCAATCTGTGACTGCAGCGCTGTGTAGTCAGCGGTTTGCTTAAGCAAGTGCTTAGCTGCCGCCCCTTTTTCGTTTTGCTCTCATGTAAGATCTGTGCAGAAATCGTAGTTTATCGGATGCTTGCTGCCTTTTTAAACGGCCTAAACGGCGAGAACAGTTCAAGAAGTATCGTACGGAACATTTTTTCGGTTTATTTTTTTTATTCAGGTTTCAAGATTAGTTATAGCGAGTATTCTTTTGTCACACAGATTGTTATCTCGGTAATCAGGATTGTAAGTTACATAAGTGAACGGCATGTGCTGTACATCTACCTGACCTGTGAATAAACAAGTTTTGGCCTTTACGTTATTTGTTCGCAACTCATCTCATCGATCCTGTGTACGATGATTGTTCGATGAAGAAAAGCCTATCAGCACTGCTGTTGTTTTAGAATTTCGTGAATCATTATGAAAATGAATTACAAAATGGTATTGAAACCTTAGCGAGTTATATGAATGTAAGCATATTTGTCATCGTGATCGGTTCATTTTTAATATTACGCTCTGAGTGCTTCATAATGCCAGCAATTCTAAGTTATTGACTTTAATTAAAAAGAATTCATATGTTCAACTGTTCTACAAACTGTCTTTGTCCTATTCGCATCGCAACTAACTGCAGCGCTTCCCTTCTCAATGAGAACTTCTAGTAGGTAGATAAGAATCGTGATGTAAATTGTTCCCGCCAAAAGCCTTTTATTTGCGAGAAAAATTAGAATATCGGTTTTCGGCGTCGGAGTCTTATGATGGCCTAATCTTCAACCTGAAATTCGCTAACATAAACTTTCCTCGCGTTCGCAAACAAAGCCACAAGGAGAAATTTGGACACTTCCCATCAACGGAACGACTCTTTTTCTTTTACTAGAAGGTACTTTCAGTAAAATAGCGCGACTTGTCGAACTGAATTAATTCGAAACTGAGGGATAGCCGTTCACGATTACAAAAACTTAAGTTTATTACTCATTTTCGACGGCAAAATCTAACGTGTGGTATAACTCCAAATTCTCGTCATCCTTGTTAAATCACACATTTAGACATTCATCTAAAACATACCTGGGAATTGCCTTGTCTTCTTGAAGGAAACCTTTGTAAGACAGCATCAAAGTTCAGGAAATTTCATGGTAGGTCGGCGGTAATTGTGCAAACACTTCGAAACGGACAAAAGTAGATATTTGAACCCTAAAAGCTAGTTTCTCTTATTTATTGTAGGTTTTGCCATTGCATGGTTGCTTTTCTAATCAAGGAGTGAGGAAAAAAGTCGAACTCCAACCTCATAAACCGATATTGTAATTTTTCTGCCAAACAAAAGGCTTTTGGCAGAAACAATTTATATCACGATTCTTATTTACCTAAAAGCTATCTAAGGACAAAAAATGAAAGAAACCGTTTTTTTCCAACTCTTGCCACTCAATACTCGATATTTCCTCACCGTCGCTCTTGAGTTTCTTTGGAACAGCTGTTTGCGTAAGCGAGTGAGAAAGTGAAGGTACACCGTGCATTGACCTATTTTTATGTTGTGCTATACTAACTTGGACATAAAATTATCCCCTCCTTTACTGCGAACATAGCTACTGGACCATTGTTGTAAATAGTTTGATGATTACCATAAAATGAAAAGACATTTTTTCGAATAAACAAGGACAAGAATAACAGTTCAAGTTGAACTGTTTTTCTTGGAACATTTCAGCAAGACAAGTTACACCATCTCCTCGCCGTATGCTAACAAATAAAACAAAGACGTTTCAGTTTTGCATACATTCCCTTAATATACTGACATCTGCAAATGTTGGTCACCAGTGACAAATCAAAGTTCAAAGAAAAAAAATGGTCAACAAATCAGAGGTGATCAAGCGAAGTATACAAGACAGTAACTGGCATTCTTTACTTTATTGCATACAAACCAATCATAGCATTGTATATTAGTGTTTACAATGTTAAACATTTCCTAACAAAACCTTTATTTACTCAGTAACTGGACTGACTGCAAAGGTTAGAGAACATTTCTCTAATTTCACTGTCGAGGACTTGCTCTCTTTACATCCAACAGTAGCAATCAAATCACCCTTACTGCTTCGCCATACAAGTTGTTAAGAAGCAACAATGTGGTTAAACCATGCTACCGCCACTGCGAAAAAGAAACGCCGCTGGGATTTCTGTAGAGAAATAACATGTTCGGAGTAATCCAAGACAGAATAAAACAAACAAACAAAGAAAAAAACAAAACAAAACAAATTAATCGAATTTTGAAAAGGAAATAAAACGTAAGCAACAACAAAAAAGAAAACGCGAAACTAAACATAAGGAGCACCGGGAGAGATATTGAGCACAACAAGTTGTTCATCCAAGCAAGGTTGCCTACCCTACAGAGGCACCTGCACAACAGGGGTGGGGTGTCTACCTCACAATAGGGTCTCCTTTACAGGGGTGTTAACACTACAGATATGTTCACGTCACAGGGATGTCTACCTCACAATTGCGTCTTCTTTACAGGAGTGTTAACAATACAGATACAGCTATTTCGAGAAACGGTGTCGGAAAAAGTGCACGCGACAATCCCGAAAGGTATTGTGGGTGGTTTTGAGTTCGCTGTTCTTCAAAGACATTTGAAAGAATGACACAAGAGGCGGTGGATGTATGTTTGCGCGTGCTAAAGGAAAGCAATAAAACAAATTTTTACAGCTACAGTGTCAGAAACAGTGTATTGATCATATCCCATATTACCTTTCAGGATTGTCGCGTGCACATTTTTGCCGACAACCTTTCTCAAAATAGCTGTATGTCCACGTCACAGCGGGGTCTACCTCACAATAGCGTCTTCTTTATAGGGGTGTTAACAATACGGATATGTCCACGTTACACGGGTGTCTACCTCACAAAAGCGTCTTCGTTACAGGGGTGTTAACACTATAGGTATGTCCACGTCACAGGAGTGTCTACCTCATAATAGCGTCTTCTTTACAGGGGTGTTAACAATACAGATATGTCTACGTTACAGGGGTGTTAACAATACAGATATGTCCACGTCACAAAGGTGTCTACCTCACAGTAGCGTCTCCTTTACAGGGGTGTTAACATTACAGATATGTCCACGTTACAGGGGTGTCTACCTCACATTAGCGTCTTCTTTACAGGGGTGTTCACATTGCAGATATGTCCACGTTACACGGGTGTCTACCTCACAAAAGCGTCTCTTTTACAGGAGTATCTACCTCACAATAGAATCTCCTACTGTGCGGTAGGGGTGTTAACGCTAAAGGAGCGTCTCCTTTACAGGGGTGTCTACCTCACAATACGGTTTCCTGTACAGGATTGTCAAGACGACAGGGATGTTCACGCTACAGGGGTGTTTGTCGTAGAGGGATGATTTGTATAAATTACTGTAGGGTGTAAAACAACAACAACAACTTACTGCGATGCACCACCAAACGAACTAAAAGGAGATTGCTGTTGCAGCGATGGCTGAGTGGTACCAAACCTTTGCGACGGTGAAGATTGTCCTGCTAAGGATCCAAACGTTGGAACGTTGGGTTGAGATGCCAAGGCGCCAAATGTCGGGCTACCTGAAGACCTGTCGAGTAAAACAAGTTTATTTGCTACAGAGCTACTACAACAAAATATACCAGTAAAAGTCGTATAACAATTTTGGACGAGTATATGAGGACTACACTTTGCACTTATTCTGCTGTCTTCTCCTCGGCAATCAAACCTAAGATTTTACAGAGTGATATCTTTATCTCTAAAGATAAAGTGCGTTTTAATTGAGCAAAGGGTAATATCACGAACACTAACCACCTTAAATTTCCTATACAACATGCGATTGGTAATTCCTTCACTTATTTTAAGGCCTAGAATGCAGTTAAAATGAAACTTACTGTCCAAATCCACCGGATTTCCCACCACCAAAAATCCTAAATAACAATAAAAAAACAAAATAAAAAGAGTGACCGCTTATGAAAAACGCACAAAGCAATTGCCAGCATGTTTGCTTTTGCTTTTGTATGAAACAAGACTCAAATTTTGCTTGAATGACTACCAACTTCATTTCCAGGTTTTTCCCACACTGCGCTAATAATAATTCGCCATGTATATTGTATTGCATTGTATTCATTATATTCAAATAACACGCGCCATAGAGATTTGCTCCGTTTGTCGCTAGCTAGGACAACTAAGTACTAGGGCTCCTTCAGGTTCAGCCGAGCCAAGATCTGGAACACTGAGCCTCCTTTACTTTTGTTATACAGGGCCCCATTCAAACCAGCCTCACTAAACTGGGCACCCGTGACTAAATATTGTTAAAAATAAAATAAAATAAAAATTATTGTATATCTATTTCAAATCCCTATTTGTAAATAACGCGTCATTCTTTACCCGAGACTGCACAACATACCCTTGAGATGGAGTGGCACCAAAGCTTGGGGCCTGAGGAGAGCCACCAAATGTTGGTGCACCTCCAAATGCAGGACTGGAACCGAATGATGGTGCACCACCAAACGAAGACCCACCAGCTGATGAGGGTGAAGCAAAAGGTTGAGGTGATCCAAAGCCACTAGCAGCAGGAGCAGTACTGACACCTGATAGTAACATGACACACCTTCACACATGGACAAATATTCAGAGTATAGAGGGATAGGAACAATTAATATTGAACAACGTAACTAACAAAAAAAAAAGCAGGTCAAGCGTTCCCGTCGCTAACGTATTTTTTTGAAAACAATGAAGGAATAGATATATAAAAAGTGAATACCATCCGGAATCCCATTTACCATATTTCCTTTGCCACGATTCCTAATAGTAACCACAATGCTTTGCGTCGAAACTAATTTGCATATCAGCTCCGCCATTTTGTTTCATCTAAGTGGATATCTCGTTGTGGAGTGGGAAGTGGCTTGTACTAATTCTGAATAAATCGCTTTTGCCGTAACATCTGATAATTTGACAATTATTCACAAAAATTTAACGTATGTTTAGCGCATCAGTTACCTTTGATTTTTTCATAACGAATACACCACAAACCAGGGACTTTAGCAAAAGTTCGGAAAAAATGTTAAATCAAACGAGATGAACTTTAACTTTAGATACAAGTACTTTTAAAGTAAACGATTAATCTAAAAAAATTCAAACATTTTCAGCTTATAAGTAGGTTGAGCATAATCGTCCGGGTCAACCTGCCATCACAGTTATCTGGCCAAACAATTCAAATTGGACTTTTCATAACGAATACACCACCAAACCAGGGACTTTAGCATTAAAGTTCCAGAAAATTTATTTTGTTTCAAACAGCCTCAACTGAACGGACTCAAGGCGAGCAGATAAAGGTGCAGGCTATAAAACTTGCGAACAATTTAGGAAACGTTTTGATCTGGGTTACATGCCCACGTAAATTTATCTAGATGAAGGCGACGGCATTGCGGCTGCAAAACATAACCCGCTATCAAAAAAGTTGCAAGCCCCAGACGAGCCGCCAGCTGGCGAAGGTTTCCCTCAAATGATTCCAGTCCATCTTGTTTTTATGCGAATCTGATAAACAACCACTTCATGGGGTTTCGACCCTTAGTCTCGATCTTGATGTTGTTCGGGGAATGCGCAAATGTACTGAATGACGAAAGTTGTTAGCTATCGCTCTTGAGGGCGAGCTACCACGCCTCTTGTCATCTATGCTGTACAGGGTACAGAATATGCAAAAAGAGATGCCGTGCGAGGGGATGAAAAGCCAATCGTCTAGAAGGTATTGCCTTGATCTCGTGACGTTTATAGAGGAGCGCGCACGAATAGCGGGGGAGAGCTACCTACATTTAAGCTAGCAGACCTAGCGAAGATGTATACCAATCGCCTGCAGCAGCTAGGGATGGAGAACCGACCAAACAGTTCACGCCTTAAGAACATATAATTGCTCAGGTTCCTGATCTCCAACCTTACAATAAGGGACGCGATGTATATTTGGCATTTGGAATGTTGGAATCCTTCACAAGGTCCATAAAGAGACTGATGATGAGGCCATACACCTTGCGAAGGCAGCTGCGATTGTCCGTAAAGACATACTATAAGTATTCATTTAATGGGTCCTTCAACGAGACTGTCCTGCGTTCTATCCATCCTTGTTAACATGATCCTGTATGATCCAAATATCAACGCTGAAGAGGGTAGTTTTTCAAAAGGGCAGGCTGCTCTTACCATCGCACAGCTAGTACAGTACAATACTTATCTCCGTCGCCGTGAAGGAGATGTTAAGAAGAAAAGCGAAATAAATCGAGAGTCTCCAGTTCCAATCTATGTTGGAGTATCTGTACATGCCAAGACACGCTGCCGTGACCTCGTAGAAATCTTACATAAACTTGGAATCTTTTATTTCATATGACAGGGTATTGAGCATCTCCACGGATCTTGGAAATGAAGTGTGTCGCCGCTACTGGCAAGAAGGTGCAGTGTGTCCGTCTAATCTTCGTCTGGGTCTCTTTACAACAGCTGCCGTGGACAATATTGATCATAATCCGAGCTCAACAACATCAAAAGATTCCTTCCACGGCACAGGCATTTCTTTGTTCCAGCATCCATCGGGAGTTACGCCTGGTACTGAACAAGCACCGATAAATATCGCAACAAATGCTGATAGCGAGAAATCGATAAAAGAACTGCCAGCGTCATACACAGAAGTCATTCCGGTACAAGAAACTACAAGTAAAGCCCAGCCTCCAGCCAACGTATCAGAGATGAAGTCGGATGAAAGCTCATAATTGCGGCTTTGAAGATGAATCCACATGGTTAGAGAAGCTAGCACTATTGGTTAACCAAGAAAGTTTCGAAGAGGAAACCCAAGTCTCTTGGGCTGCATTTCACTCTCACCAACCGTACTGTGCCTCCTTCGTCGGTTGCTGTTTCTGCTCTGTTGCCACTTTTTCCTGATCAGGCAAAATCGGTTGCAATGATAAGACATGCCATGAACGTGATAAAACTGTCCGTAGATCATCTGAATCCAGGTCAAGTCCCAGTCATTGCCGTAGATCAGCCATTATATGCTGTAGCGAAAAACCAGTGGAGATGGGCTAGTCATTACGGCGAGGATAAATTCGTTGTAGTATTCGGTGGACTCCACATCGAGATGGCGTTTCTGAAGGTGCTAGGAGATTGGCTTGAGGGAAGTGGGTGGACAGTGGTCCTTTCAGATGCAAACGTTGCTACGCCAGGAACTGCTAATTCGTTTCTCAAGGCCACAAATGTAACGCGCCTCGAAGGGGCTCATCAGGTGACAGCATGCTCCTTATTTATTCTTCTAAAGAGAGCGTATCAGAGGTAAATATGTCATTTCAATGGTAAAACTGGTGGGAAAATCTTAATGTTTTAGTTATAGCTGAGCTGCACATTGCTGCTTTAACTAGCTTTACAAACACTTCACTCAAATCTCAACAAGGTTAAGGATCTTAACTTTCGGGGACGTAATCCAGCTGGCTAAAGGTAGAGCGTGGAACAACTGCATTCTGTCCTCGAGACTCTACAAAAAGAAGCACCGAAAACAGCCAACAGATATATTAGTTAATATCGAGTTTTGATATGAGCGCGATAAGCAACCTTGCGGCTCTGTATAAAATTTCTTACATGCATGGCTGATGGAAATAAAAAAGGGTGGATTTTTTATCCCGGTATTGCCGTTTAAGGCTTTAAAAATAAGGATAATTATGTTATCAATGGATTGTTACATCGTAAAACTTATTAGTAAAATGTTTCACTTGGTGATAGGTACGTAGATGGAATGGGTAATGGTGCCCTTTCCTTTGACGAGTGGTGTAACCATCAGAGACGTAAAGTACCCCAGTTTCAGTACTGGCATACAGCCCTTCAACTGGAGCTTCTTCTCCTTGTTTTTCTAAAAGTCGCTCCGCCTTGCTGACTTTGGTATGTACGTAGATGCAGTTTACAAGATGCTTCCGTGGTTCTTTGCTTTAAACCATACCAACTATGCCCGTTGGCTCCCTATACATGTACGCGATATGCGCGCGAACTCGACAGTAAGGCACCAGCAGTAGCAGAGGCATTCAAGCAGGGTTTGTTCACCGTCACAAAAACCCGTCGAAGATTTTCTTGTATAGCTATTGATCAGGCCCACGAGCAGAACAATGCTATGGTCAAGGATGACGGAGGGGCTGTGGGTCTGACAGAGAATGCCAGCGCACTTTGCAGGTGGATGCTATTTGGTCCTGAGATGGCACGGCTAGTCAACGAGTTCGAGGCATGCATGGCACCTGAAGTTAGACCTGGAACAAACAACCATCGTGAAGCTGAGAGGGGTTATCAAGCAGCGTACCACAAAGATGTCAGGTCACTCGTGGATGTACTTGACGACCTTGGGAACCCTTTTGAAGAAGAGGGCAAAGACCTGATCGTGTTAGATACAAAGGTGGTGGCAGACGAAGGAGGGTATCAAGAATGCAGCAAATAGAGGATCTTGGCGTAAAGCAGTGTGATAGGTTGAGCATAATCGTCCGGGTCAACGTAGTCCTGAATTGGATTGTTGTTAAGGTCAAACCAGGTCAAGCGTTCCCGTCGCTAACGAACTAATGAATTCATTAATGGAAAAATTATTTCGTTTGTTGATTCAATAATCCATTCCGGCATAAAATGAACAATCCAATATTCATATTCAGCCTCGATTCAATAATCGAATGTTGATTCGATTACTATTTTTTTAAGAACTACACTTTCCACAAGTCGAACTCAGAATTTTGTTTTTTCTTCTTTTTTTGTAAGAGTCGAGTCAGAGGGCGGGCGAGTTCTGAAGTTCAAACCCCAACAAACTGTTACATGTACGCCATTTTGCCAGTAATCAGTGCAACAGACCTGACTTCTTAGAAAACACGATGCTCAAACTGAGGTCAGTGTATGTGCGGTGATTGGTGGATTTCGATCCTCGGCCTTTGTCAGTTTCTTTGCGTTTGCGGTCTGTCTATTCTAGCTGTTACTTCGATTAAAGGCAACAAAAAACGCAATCGTAAACGGTCATTTATTAGGACTTCGTTCACCCGGACGATCATATTCAACCTACTTTCACGGTCGTTTGTTGTTAGTCAAATTGTCGGTTGTCCAGTCATTCGTTTTGCTTGAGCCCGTCAATAAATCGTATGTGCGGTGCCGGTGTCAGTTGACTACGATTGACTAGTTCTACTGTTGACTAGTTGAATACCATCAACTGACGTGATAAAACTCACTTTGACTCTAAAGATGACTGCCGCAAAGGCTTTCAAAACGTCAGTCGCTGTCCACAACAGTCCTATTCAGGACTACGTTCACCCGGACGATCATACTCAACCTACTTATGAACTGACTCCTTCAAACCTTTCACATTTTCAACTTAATTTCCAAGAATCAAGAAGTATCTGATTTTTTTTTCTAGTTCTGAAGTCTTGTCTTACCTTATTGAATGCACCCTTGGTTATAGGTTCCCTTATACTGGTTTAACCAGACTATTCAATTACAGTGAAGAGTTGGCATAAACTAATTCAACAGGCTCGGCGCCGCTGACACAACTTACCCGTAGATGAGGCTCCGCCGCCAAAACCGAAACCTGAAGCCAGCACACCACCCCCCTGAGAACTGAATGAGCCTCCAGCAAAACCACCAGAGGACTGGGATCCAAATCCTGATTGAGAAAAAGGGACACTTCCAAATGCTGGCTTGGGTGTTTCACTCGCCTTAATAAACACAACAACAATATCAATATTAATTTACAAATGCAGTAAAAATTGCATGATTGATAAATTATGGTTCACTTCTGAGGAAAAGGAAAGGCACATATTTAATATAAAGCAGAAACTTGTGTAATCTCGCTACAAGCCTCCTATCTTTATCGAATGCTTGATGATCACTTATTGCACGATAGTCGAACAAACTGATTTTTCATGGAACACTTCAGTCCTGCTCTAAGTGAAGTAACATATGTTGTTCATTTTTATTCATATAATTGTTTCTGTAAGCTGTAGTCTCAAGAGGGTATTAAGAGGTCAAACCTTAAAAATGAACAAACCTTGAATACATCAGCTGCAGATTTTCCTCCAAATAACGAAGGCTCTAACGTTGGGAAATAAACAAATAAATAAATAAATAAATAAATAATAATAATAATAATAATAATAACAAATTACAAAACCTCCATTAAAATCCTATTTACAATCAACCTGCTGTTACAAAAAATCTAATTAATTCATCAAAACACTATCTACAATTCCATCCGTTACAAAAGAAACCCCTCGGGCTTCATTAGAGAACAAAAAGAATCCTATATATAATAAGTGAAGAAAGAAACTATTCATTTACAAATTCTAAAAAATAGAAGTAACTTAACCTTACATAAAAGAAGAGGATATAGATATAATTAATAATAAAAAGTTCAAAATTCTATAAAATAAAGAATGCCATTATGCAGAGATATTAAGATCATACAATCGAATAATACTAATGACGGCTAAACCAGTGTCCATAAAAAGCCCTAAGTATAAAAGCATATAGACACGTATTTCAGATATCCGCACTAGCGACATTTATTTTACAGTCTAATGATTGCTCTATCTTGCTACGAAACGGCGTTCGCGAACCTCTGACGCATGCATGTACCGATCTTAAGAGTTCAAACGAGATCTGTGTCCTGAGCCAAGTGATTACAACATGATAAGGCTCGGTGTCTTTCTGAGCTATCTTGTCTGCGAGATGCTTTAAGAACCGCTGACACTCGTTTCCCATTCCGCCATTGGTTCCAAACACTAAAGGCGTAAACGAACCCATTTCTACATCTAACACCCGCTGCTGGTACTTGCGCTTCTTCTCTTCTTCTTGCTCTTTGAACACTTCCGATGTTGGCTTGCTCTGGTAACACTTGGAGTTGACGTGCGTAACTCTAACATCAAAAAATGCCGTAACTCTCTTGCCCAGAAACCTCCCGCTTTGATGTCCAACCTTGCCTCAGAACTTGTAACAGCGCTCCTCAAATGAAATCGCTCGTTGTCCAGGGGTTGAAGGCGTGGTTCGATTTCGACATTAGAGAGTTTTAGATCCGAGTTTATCGCGAACCTCTAACCGCGGTTTGCAGTTACCCGTTTGCGGTTCGACGTTCAAACATAATTCGATTTAGATTGGCGGTGGATTAAAGAGGTGGATTCTGGTTTATTTTTCCATTTAGAAATAGAAGAAATATCAATCAGTGAAATAACAGAAATTTACGGTAACGCTGGGTTATCTAGCAGCAAACAGCTGTAAATTCTTACATTAGTTCTTCTTGCAAATTTACGGCCGCCATTTGAATCAGTAGCCATAAATGGCACTTGAGTTCAAGATCCAATAGGATTTATCAAATTTAGCATTTCGCTCGAATTTGTGCCTCTGTTAATGGATAGAGACTTGCTCCACAAGATTTTTGTATCATGACGTGGGATAAGACAAGAATTATAAGCTAAAAACTTTCAGGTAAATGACATACGTGAAAACCTACCTCCTCACGTTGAAAACGCACGTCGTAAACCTCAAACATGACGCGAAAGACTTGTCACGTGACTTCCAGCGGTTAGAGGTTTGCGGTAAATTCGGATCTAAAACTCTCTATTATTGCAGATCTTGTCGATGAATGTCGTTAACAAGTTCCGTGCACCGTCATGTCTCTGCGCTACAAACCCCCCCTTTTTACAAGAGAGGGCGTGACTAACCGTGAATTTATCCTCACATACGCAATGACTTGGTAAATCGACTAAGGGCAAGTCATGACGCAAGCGTAGCGAGTCTCTGAACTCTTGCTTGTTGAGGGCTAAACCTTTGTCTGCGAGAGGCATCGCATTCAGCCAAGAACTTGCGCCCTTGTCCCTCGATTGATTAACCAGACGCAGCAGGCCTGGGGAGAGGCTTGAATCAATGCTATCCATTTTCTCTTTGGCACTTGCTCTCTTAAGTGATTGTTGATGCCTCTTTAGCTCCTCCGTAGATCTTTCTCCTGGCACCATGATGGAACTCTGTGAAGTAATAGAATCTACGTGCGCGGTGGTTATTAGTCTCGAGGCAGCAAACTGCTGCGGTGCCTCGGATTTCAGATCAGGAATGCCTAGACCCCCTTGACCCGTTGCTAAGGTAGCAAGTCTGCGCACCTCGTTAGGGAGAGGCTCTGATTGACCGAACAAAGTTGGGAGTAGTAAATCTTCAATCACTTCCTGGATTGGATCGACATAAACTTCAAACGATTCAATCGTGCGCATGAAGTAGGTGAACTTCGACTTGCAGCCTTTTGTGAAAGCAATATACGCCGCACGAGGCTGGCTCTTCGCTATTTCAGATAGACGTTCGATTTCCTCTTTCCATGCACGAACCTTCTCCTCGCAATACTGATCTTTGTATTCTTGCGACGCAATAACTGCTCCCGGATGGCGCTGACCTTCAGTCGTTATGTTGACTTCCTCTCCAAACAGCCTCTTTGCTTCCTCCGCGAGTTCCCTAGACTTCACAATAAGCCAGCTCTTTGTCCCATTCACAAGGTAACCAAACTTTTGACCTTCCTTACTCAATTGCCTGTACCAGTTGTATAACTGCACTATACTCCCTCCTCCAGCTGAGTCGTCTGCAAGCCACACCTGTTTAACCAATGGGTAATGATCCCTCAAATTCTGCATCATTATGGATGTATTAAGTGCGTACCATGGCATCGCTAGCGGATCTCCCTGTGCGGTGCCTTCTCGAGAAAGTATTTCACCTCCCCGACAAATAAACAGTCTAGATGGGCTTCTATATGTGTTAATAACATAGAGCGCCATTTCTTTGCACATGATCTGGATATTGTGTAAGGCCGCTGACCTATTCATTTGGTTAAAAGCGTTACTAGCATCAATTAGCAATATTCCATCTGTTCCTTCTTCAATAAACACTTGACTCATTGCATGGATCGCAGCCTCCGCTCCTGCATTATGACCAGCGCAAACTTGTAGGGGACCCGCCGCTTCTTTTATTTCCTCCTTTAAGAAACCGCTGACCGTTTTCCCCACTATTCTCCTTAGTACCTCTCCAACACCAATTGGTCTGATTTCCGGGTTCTTATCAAGCGGAATGAGCCTGCAGGACGTAAAGGCTTCAAGTAAGGATGGGTGGTACGATTTCCTTAGCAGATTTCTTGTGAACACGGCTAGCTCTTCTCTCAATATTTTGCCCTCGGTCTTGAAATTCTTAGAGCACAGGATTCTCTTATACAGCTTTGCGTCCATTACAGATGGTCCGGCTGAGCCCTTGGTTTTACTTGCCGAGTTGTAGATCGATTCTTCGTCTAAGAGGTCATAAACATTTGGCGGAATATAATCAATTGGGCCATGTAACAAACTCTCCTCTGCGATATCAGCTGCCTGTGGGTGCTTGTCCTGTAGCCCTTGCAGGACATCTGACGATAGGTCGAGAAGACCGGACGAGCTCTCGTTATCTAGGAGTTTCATTGCAGCTGTCAATTTTCCTTGCAGAACCAGCTTTGAGAAGGCTTTGGATATGTCTTCAACCTTTCTAGGTTTCTTGGAATTCACAAATTTCCCTTGAAAGAACCTCACTTCTTTAAGCAGCAAATCAATGTCCCCTTGTTTCCAGAGTGCTAATCGACGCTCTATTGCTTCACTATGCTCCTTGCTTTTGGAAGTAGCGGATGGTTTTTGCAAAATCAAAGTTGGGAGCACCATGAATGCTTTAAGGGCGACCGAGTTCAAGTCAGGGTTTGAATTAAATTGCTTAATCCAGAAGGTTAATTCTTGAATGAAACTCTTCCTTGCGCGACCCGATGGAACATTAAATATATTCCTCCTGTAGTGGACGATTTTATCGTAAACATCGTTGACAGTATTACAGAAACATGCGTAACTAATACTGCCCCAAGTTTTGTTCTTTGTTTCGGAGGGAAGCACATCATAATCAGGCAGATTTGGCTTGATTTGATTTTTGGTGTTTTGATCCTTGCAAGTAGCGGTCCGCAACAACAATATTAATAATAATAATAATAATAATAATAATAATAATAATAATAATAATAATAATAATAATAATAATAATAATAATAATAATAATCCGAGTCCCAGATGGGATTTGAACCCACGACCCTCCGTGATCTAGTCGGATGCTCTAACCACTTGAGCTACTGGAGACTCTATGGTGAGCAAGGGCCAATTTGTGGGTCTCGACTGGAACCGCATCACGCGGCTACACAGCCAAGTAATGACTGGCACACAAGAACTCACTAACAGCATCGCGCTGTCACCTTAAAGCATATCAAAGATGCGGCCAACCAACCTCCAAAGTGAGTATATTAAAGATGAAACAACAACAACATGATATTAATTATGAGGAGGACTCGGAAAAAAAATCCGAGTCCCAGATCGGATTTGAACCCACGACCCTCCGTGATCTAGTCGGATGCTCTAACCACTTGAGCTACTGGAGACTCTATGGTGAAACTCTTCCTTGCGCGACCCGATGGAACATTAAATCTCTAAAGTGAGTATACTAAAGATGAAACAACAACAACAGTCGAGACCCACAAATTGGCCCTTGCTCACCATAGAGTCTCCAGTAGCTCAAGTGGTTAGAGCATCCGACTAGATGACGGAGGGTCGTGGGTTCAAATCCCATCTGGGACTCGGATTTTTTTTCCGAGTCCTCCTCATAATTAATATCATGTTGTTGTTGTTTCATCTTTAATATACTCACTTTGGAGGTTGGTTGGCCGCATCTTTGATATGCATTAAGGTAACAGCGCGATGCTGTTAGTGAGTTCTTGTGTGCCAGTCATTACTTGGCTGTGTGGCCGCGTGATGCGGTTCCAGTCGAGACCCACACATTGGTCTTTGCTCACCATAGAGTCTCCAGTAGCTCAAGTAGTTAGAGCATCCGACTAGATCACGGAGGGTCGTGGGTTCAAATCCCATCTGGGACTCGGATTTTTTTTCCGAGTCCTCCGCATAATTAATATCATGTTGTTGTTGTTTCATCTTTAAAATAATAATAATAATAATAATAATAATAATAATAATAATAATAAGGAAGGATTCTGCGAAAAGTGCTGAACACTTAATTATATTGGGGAAAGTTAATAGTTACATTTATACTACTTAACAAAGAACTAACGAGAAGCCGCTGGGGATGAAAATCCTTGAGACACTCCAAACGGGTTGGTCTTGTTGGTCTGTGAGCTGCCTTGCCCTCCTAACCCAAAGCCACTAAACCCAAAACCAAGGGCTAAAAAAAAAGGAAAGAAAAAAAAGAAAAATAGCGTAAAATGTCAGACAAATATCACGAAGGCCAAGACCAAACCACTGTAAAAGCATATCCTACAGCCGATGGCGCTTTATGGAGGCCTTTGGATTGAAGCGCTTGAACAGGTCGGTAAATTTGCAAGAACGCAAACCGCTATTTTTTTCTTAAATTTACCCAAGACAAAACTGAAACGGATTACAATCATCAAGACCTTGTAAGTTTATAATAGTGCCTACAAAACGCGGAAATGCACATCGTTCGTTAACATCCTAGCTTACAAAGCGTCCCTTACCATTTTCGGCTGGCTTTGATGTCGCTTGCCCAAAACCAGCGCTGGTAGTGGGAGCAAATGAAGACTGACCAAAAGCAGGCTTTGAAGTGGCCAAAGACGCTCCAAATGTTGATATCGTACCAGCTGTTGTGCTTGCTGATCCAAAGGCCGGTGTAGTACCAAAACTGTTGCCTTTGGTGTTTACAGGTGAGGTGAACGGCTGAGAGATGTTCAAGGTGCTAGCGCTACTTGACGTCCCAAAAATAGACGTTGGGGCAAAGGCAGTTGCTGATGAAGTCCCAAACAGGCCACCTCCAGCTGATGTGGTAGTGGCAGTACCTAGAGAACCAAATCCAACACTTGCTACAGTTGAAACTGCTCCAAACGCGCTGGTGGTGCTTGTGGCTTTGCCAAACATTCCACCAAAAACTGAGGTTGATGAGCCTTCGGTTGTAGATGAAAAACCTTCAGTCGATGCTGAGGGCTTTGTAGAGGCTGGATTAATGTTCGTGAAGAAGGGACTGGCGATGGTAGTGGAAGAGAAGGCAGAAGACTGTGACCCGGCTGATAAACCAAACAAATTGCTCGATGATGAAGTGGTAGAAGGTGCTATAACACCAGTTTTGGATGGAATTCCAAATAGGCTTCCAGGAGCAGAGGCAGTTGTCGTAGCTGAAGCACCCAAAGTACTTGTAGTCAAAGGTAAAGTGTTGACGTTGTTTACTGTAGTAATAGTAGCAACTTTATTGCTCTCAGACAGTGCTTGTTGAAACATCCCTGCTGGACTAGCTGTAATACTAGATGGTGCACTTGTGATTTTAACACTTTCATCTTTCGTTTCTGTTGAGGTTGATTTTAACTGTATTAGAGGTGCGATGCTTGAAGGTGCTGAACCTGTAGTAGTTACTGCTGCGAACAAACTACCTGAGGTACCTGCATTGGAGGAACGCATCAACGAATTCAAAATGCTTGTGGAACCGTTCCCTAAGTTACTGGGGCCAAATGCACTGCCACTGTTGCCTGGTGGGCCAAGAGTCTTGAAGAACCCTCCTTTACTTGAGGCTGGAGCAGAGAATGAAAATGTTGTTGTTGTTGTTGCTAATGTTGTGACACCAGCTGCAGAGACTATAGAAGAGCTTGCAGTTGTTGCTGCCGCAGTGGCCTGTCAAAAAAAAGAAACAATAGCACAAGCCTGACAATGACTCAAAAATGCATTTTCGCTTCAACATGATGAAACGTCATATCCGTTTTACTCACCTCCTTACTTTGATCTTGTTGCTGATTTGTTCGTGCTGTTTGTGAAGTCGAATCACCTGACGCAAATAAATTTCTGCTGACTCTAGCACTTGGTGTGATACCTGCAACTGACGCAGAGGCAGCAGTGCTGACAGAAGAAGCGGATGTCTTGGTATTACCGCTTGTACTGCTGAGGTTAGGAGATGCAGATGAGGGTGCGAAAGCGAACAAACAACTAGCTGGAGTTGAAAAGCTATATGGGACAGTAGAGATTGTTGCCTGGCCAGGTGGGATAGCAGTTTGAGCGGCCGTTAAAGATCCCTGCAACCCACCACTGGTACTTTGGGTTGAGGAACTTGATGCAATAGGACCAAACGCAGGTTTGAAGACTGTGACATTAGGTGCCACGGTAAAGCCACTTTGTGATGCTTGTGATAAAGCGTTTGGTGGTTTGAAAGTCACAACAGGAGGTCCAGGCTTACCTCCCTCTGAAGATTTGAAAACAAATTCAGTACTACATTGTGGCTTTGTTGAAGGCTGTTTAGCTTCTGCTGTGGCTGCCATTAATGCAGCATTGGCGATTGCCTTAGCTGCATTGTTTTCTTTATCCAAGTCCGTCGCCTGCTCACCTCCTTGTGTTTGTGGCTTGTACGCCACTAGTGTGACTGGCTCAATGCTTGCCGAGGGGTCAAGTTTACTGTTGCTTTGTTGAGCTACATCTTGTGCTGCACTGGCCCTGCTCATAGCAGCCATTGCTGCAGCGATGTTGGGCGGAATTTCTGTGCGGTTCCCCTGCACACTCGGTGCGTTCTCGTCGTTCGATGTAGTAGGCGCCAGCTGCAAGAAAGGAAAAAAAAAACAACATGGACATAACATTTGATGGGTAAACTACGACATCACTTGCATTCAAGTTCTCCCAACAGGGATGGAACCTATGACCTTCTTGGCCCTAGTCCAGATACTCTACCAGTGAGATTCTTGGAGCAAAAACCACCAAACCGTCTTAGTCTATTGTTTTGACTCCCACAAGTCGCCTGTAGCTCAAAAATCATTTTCACATATTCAGTATATCACTACGTGTATACTGGGAACATTTTTTCATTTCACTATTTCACTACATGTTTTACACTGTTCAGGGCTGTCACTAAGATTTCAAGTTGCAAGATAAATGCAACAAGTAGCCAGGGAATTAAACAGCTAGGGATTTCTTTTGGTTTAATTTTTCCTTTACTTTCCTATGAAGTTACCCGGGGACCACATTCATAGTGGCGTGGGAGAATCCAAGGCCCCTGCCTCTTAGTAGCGATCTTAAGCCCCGTGTAAACGGACGCAACATTGTTTTCCAACAACTGCCAACATTGTTGGATTTTACATGTTGCGTCCGTTTGCACACCCTGTTGCATATCGTTGGATGTTGTTGCCTGTTGTTGCGCAAAGTTTGAAACCGGTCAAACTTTTCAGCCAACAACTAACAAACATTTTTTTAGTTCCGTGATCGCCGAAGCGTAGCGTAGCGATGCACGGCAGGTCTCCAACTTGTTGGGAGTTGTTGTATCCGTTTGCACACCACTGCCAACACGCACGCAACAACTCCCAACATTGTTGCGCCAACAATGTTGATTGCGCCCGTTTGCACGCAGCCTTAAACAACGAGAACGCTGACGTCCCAGACGTCATGATTAGCAACCGGAAGTTCGATATCTCGCTTGATGGAACACTTCTGTCTCACACAACGAATCTGAATGCCTTTGTTTTAGGTCCCGCTGTACGAATTTGTCGAGTCAGAGCACTGAAAGAGAGAAAATATCAACTTCCGGTTGCCATTTTTGACTTCCGGGACGTCAATGTTCTCGTTACTTAAGTTTCCTAATGACAGCCCTGCGCTGTTATTCCGTAGAGATTAAAACGCATTAAATGTGTTTCATGGACCTACGAGGCTCTAAAGCCTTAGAACGTTTATCATAGGTAATATGCAACAGGCAAAATAGCAAAAGAAAAGCACATTACAACGAAAATCCAAAAATCAATGGCATTTCTAATTGAAGAAATGTTCTGACTGTAGCTTACATTGTCGCGCGGGAGGAAAAAGCCGCCAGAAGTTTTGGATGGTTCAGCTTGTGTCGTCGCTAGTGTTGATTGTAGTCCAGGAGGGTTAAATGAAGAAAACGCTCCAGATACAGCAGCCGGTTGTGAAGCGGGTCTGACTTGTAAACCAACACCAACATCACTTCGCACAGACTGATCTGTTGTCTTTGTTCCTTCACTTTCATCTGTTGCAGTTGATCGAGGCGAGGATCTACTAGGCAAACTGAATCCGCCCGAAGTAGTAGGCGGCCCGGTGGAAGACATGTTACTCACTTCACTCAACTGCTTAAGCTCCTGCTCTTCTTCCTGCTCATCCTCCTGTTGTTCATCTTCAACAGACTGCGTTTCTTCCTCCCATCGACCTCCAACATCACCTACATTACGTTCGGATTCGTTCTCTTGTTCTTTCACAGGAGGTATCAAGCTGATGGTTTCTTTGGTTCTTTCTTCCGTGGAATCAGGTTTAGCAGCTGGTGTGGAAGAGTAACATGGCACTTGAGGTTTAATTGGTCGCACTGTGGGACTCTTAGCAGCAGGGCTGGGGACTAGAAGGTGATTATAGACAAATTAAAGTTACTTTGACAACCATCACACAAAACACAGGTGCAGAATAAAAACGTAGGAAGAACGCGAATTAACTTTTTAAGCGACGATCGCCGTCCTCAGTTCTTAAGGTCCCTGATGTTTTATTTCGCTGAGATTACTTATCTAGCATTAATTACAGTTACGTAGAAACATGCGAACGAAACGTCTTTTCACTTAAAACTATGGACTGTTACAAATACCCACTGACTCACCAAGAGTACTCCTCCTCACTGGGGTACTCCGTCTTTTCTGAAACATGCTCCTTAATTGAGCTTGCTTTTCAGGGGAAATTGGAACTGCAAAAAAACAAACAAAAGTGATAATAAGATAAAAAGTACTATTCCGCGTAAAATACTTGAACAACAATAATACAATTGTACAAATTTGAGTAATGCACCTGGAGTCCTCTGTAATGGCGATTTTAATTCCTCTTTTGGTAGAGCAAAAGGAGTGCTCATCGATGCCGCATCACCTCTATAACAGAAACCATGTTTAGAATCTATGTATTCATAGCTTTGGTAGGTTTTTCTTCGTCAAAGAAGAAAATAAAGTGTTTTTTACCTTGTTATAAATGTGTTAACTGAACTTCGCTGCCAGGACGTTGACAATATTTTCCTGTTCTTCATCTCCTCTGTAATTTTTTCCAACTTGGCTCCCTGAAAGATACAAAGTTAAGAACAAAACATCCAACATTAGGGAACATACAATATTAACAACAGAGATTCAGATTGTGCAGGACTTACTTGATCCTGGGCAATTTTGTAGTTGATCCTCAAAGTCTGATAAATTTCATCCAAAGCTGGACGTTGCATAGACCTGGGGAAAAATGAAGTTTTGTTTAAGTTGGGGAGTCCTGTGTACTGAACTTATATATTTGGTAAGTCACACAGATATTTTTCAGCAGGCCTACAATACTGTTTCATCAGAGGAATATCGGCGTTCTTTTCACTTTTATTCAGTCATACTAGATATCGTCTAAGAAGAAAGCCTGGACTTTGTTACCTCTGACGTTTATTTTCTTTGTTCCACTGTTCATCAAGAACCATGTTCACTTCTCTGAAGAAATAAAAAATAATGATAACACCCTTGTACGTTGAATTTGTATTTGCATGGAAAGGTAAACTAGCTATGGCTGGCGTGTCATGACAGATGCAGCTAAGGGGACAGAGCAGTCTTACTTTTTTAACCTTTAAAATGCTCACAAATTTTCATCATTTGTAACTGCATGGCTAAATGGAAGTTAGGAGCTCGGGAAATCCAGGGGCTGGCAATCGGCTGTCCGACCGCAAGGCTGGCAGTCTTCGCCATCCAGCCATGAGCCCCAACGCAAAACGAGCAGCCAGGCACCCGCGTGATACTGACGACAAGCAATGGAAAAAGGGGAGAGGGTAGGGAGGGGGTTGAAGAGGAATACAATAGTACATGACCGGTAGAAAAAACGCTGGAGTCAATTATGTCCTTGTCATTTAAATTCATTCATATCAAATGCAGTTCTGGATATTCCAGTATATTTACTAGAAATCTCCTTAAAAGCCGAAAATGCTTCCAAATAATGCACCGCAAATATACCTGAGAGTCTTATCAAGGTAGAGTTGGAGATTTCTGATGTCTCTCATCTTGCTTGTGTTCACTGGATCCAGTGCTCTAGACTTTTATGGAAAAAAAAAATTACAGTGATGATAAAAAAAGAAAATTCAGTTTTTCTTTTGCTGTTTACACTGTGTAAAGATGAAGTGAATACCTTGAGCAACTGAACATATCTAGGATCGTTCTTCCTTTCTTGTCTTATTCTAGAAGAGAGCAAAGAAATTTCCTATCATTGTTAGGCTTCATACATGTCTGTTTTCTTTGATACCTTCAACGATTTCCGGCCCCCCACTTTGATCACAACAACATAGCTCTACTACTCGTAATGTCTTTTAAGAATAACCTGAGGTAGGCTCTATTTAACGAAAAGAGAGCCTGATACAAACCTTCTCCGAAACGTCTGCCGCCCACAACCTTGATTGATTGGCATTTGCCAAATCAGCCAAACACAATTACTTCCGTTGAATGTTCTTTTTAGTATGAAAGTTTTTTGTACGTAGGAAAATGCAGAAAATAGCTCTTATCTTTTTTCAACTAAAAATAAACAGTCACGAAAGTCACATGCGAGGTTAAAGGAGATCTTGAAGGTTATCTCTGTCGGCGTAGATGGTAAAAAGTTTTCAAAAAGAAGGCCACATGATGTTCTTGTTTTAATATTTTGTCTAGCTGCGCTCGATTTTTAAAATACTGAAGTTTCTATTTTTCCTGCTGATCACCCATTTTCAGTACAAAAATCTTTAAAAATCTTGGAGAAATATATCGCGAAGTTTTTCAAAGGATCTCAGAACAAACCAAACGAGTTCTCAAATGCATGTAATTTAGACCCGTGAGTACACTTGCAATTTGCGAATTTACAAGAAACAACCGTCTAAGCAAATATACTGTTTTATAAATCCAGGTAAATACTATCTGCCACTTTGGATGGACGAAACGAAAATACTAAAACTGCATGCGCAACGGACCTATTACAAACACACTTTGTAGTTCTGTTGTGTTGTTGTTTTATTGCACTTTTGAAAAGCTCGCTAAATTTAATAATCTAAATTAACAAACAGCACGCAAACAGCCAACGAGCGAGGACAACAGTTTTTCTGGTTTAGGTTAATTTTTTACAAAAAGGGAAGGCAAACAACAAGTCTGTAACCTTACCAATGCAAGAATAGCAGCACCAGCTTTTTACAATAATGTCTACAAAAAATCATTGAACAGCCAAAATAATACTTCACAGATGGCAATTGAGGTTTCTTTCGCAGTGAACCTCAGCTTTTATTCCCCGTTCAGATAAGTCATTCCCGGCTAAACTTGCAAATGAAACCCAGTCTTAACGTGGACAGTATTTCGACTTGCACTCGTTTGTTGGTAAGTCAAAGGGCACCTTGTTCGACGTTCGAGGTCAACAACCTGCAGAGGGATTCGACTTCGTGATACACTCACATTAGTGCCATAATTTAAGCAAATCTTGAGAAGTTATCAACACCACTTGAATTTTCTGAATTTCCTAGGCACATATTAAGGCATATTTTCCTACCAAAAGACCGTGAAACAATAAAAAAGATAGCAAAATCCTTCTGACCGCTGACGGCGGATCATTCGCAAAAACAACCACGCGAGGAGTGAGCGCTTTCAACTTCCGTTGATTCCAACAGCCAATCACATCCTGTGGCATTGTTCTAACAGCCAATCAGCGTTGAGGCCAAAATCTGGCCGTAGCAAGCATAATAGCCTGCATACCAGGCGCTTTATGAGCCAAGCGAGGCGAACGCGGCATTTTGCGCGAAGCGCTTCGCAATGTATTAGTTTAACTATTTTTGCCTTTTTTTTTTCTCTTTAGTTATTTCTTAATTAATTATTTAATTCTGTAATCTTGTTTAATCTGTGAAGAAAAAAATAAATGACTACTCGAATGACTACTTTAAAGTAAAAGAAGGTCAGATGCTATAGGTGGTTTTCACGTTACGTCATCGCCGCCATGCTGGTGGACGGTAAACAAAAGATCGCTCATTAGCTCGTTTTGTTTGTCCACCAGCATTTGTTCATTTCACCATTGTTATTTGTGTCTCCCGAGATTGCATGAAAACCACCTATGGTAAGGATGGATTCCCATAAACTCAGTGTGAAGTTTGGTAATACAAATGTTAATTTATACAAAGAATGCCTCAGTACAGGTAATACAACAGTGAATGCCGGACTACAGGGTTACAAAAGACACAAATACATGTACAACGGCAGCAAAAACAATTGAACAACAAAAACAAAACAAACAAACAAACAAGACATACAATGTACTCAAAATACAAGGCACTCAGTTTTTTTAATTGAAATTGGCTTGTGAAAGGTTTGTGAAAGGTTTGAACCCAGGAGTCATTTCAAAAGTAGGTTGAGTTTGATCGCCTGGGTGAACGTAGTCCTGAATAGGACTGTTGTTGTTGACAGTGACTGAAGTTTCAACAACCTGTGCGGCAGTCATCTTCAGAGTCAAAGTGAGTTGTATCACGTCAGTTGATGGTATTATACTCTGGTTATTGATCTGATTGGTCAATTACGTCGCGATGTTATTGGTAGTCTGTCAGTTAAGCCGTGATGTTATTCGGTATGAAGACTCGTAATCAGTAATTGGTGCGTTTCGATCCGTCTATTGTCACAGTTTAACAGTCGTCTATTGTTAGTCAAATTGTCAGTTCTCCAGTCGTTTTTTCGTAGTTAGTTTTGCTTGATCTCGTCAATAAGTCGTTTGTACGGCGCTGGTAACTGTTAGCTACGATTCAGTGGCGTTTGTTCTAAGTTAGTAAACCAGCTTTCTAAAGTATTGTTGTCATGTTTATATTTACTTATTTTACTTTCTTATTAGGAAGGTGGATCAACAACTGCACAACTATTCCATTATTGCACGTACATTGAGGTGCAGACTTTGTTAACTAACCTGGCATCTTCCAGCATTTCAAAAGCTTCAAGGATCTTCTTTTTTTCCTCATCAATATCTTTCTGTTGCTCCTATCGTTTTCAAAAGGAAGGTTACCAATCAGATTTGCAAACATAACTAGAAATCAGTTGTGATGTATAAAACTATTACCACGAGGGAATTTAAAACCAGGTTAATATAGGTGAATGATGAAGTCTTTGACAAAGCTGAAAGGAGTCGTTTGCCTACTAGTGTAGAAGATCTAAAGAGATACAGCCAGGCTGCAGCTGGGAAGTTTGTCACATTAACCAACGCTACTGGCCCGATAACAAAACAGCCTCCACAAGTTCTTATCTAGCTCAATGGTAGATGATCTGTACTACAAAGCAACCACAAGTTAACAGCTTCCGCGACAGGCTTTTTAGGAAATAGACTGTTTTTCCTTGTCGCCCGTGTTTGTGACTGAAAAATTGTCTTTCTTGCAAATCAGCTAGCAGAATGTTAATCTTGGTCTCGCAAATCATTGTTATGTATAAGTATGAAACTGTACTCAATGTGGTCTGGTGATTGTTAAGTTCATTGGTAATGACTCGAGAATTTTTTCACTATCCTCAAAGCACGTCATACCGCAATAAATATATCTAAGAGATTATTCAGAATTCTACTTGCTTAAACATTGAGAAAACAGAGTACGTTACAGAGCAAAATTTATTTTATTAACATGCGACTTTGTTATAACCACCCTCCTTCAAGAACTCTTCCAACAAAAGATTAATAAGCAGTGAGATACATTTGGGCTTCCAATTACTACAAACCTTGGTGGTATCGTTAATGGCTACTAATGTGCGACCAATCAGACCAGTTTCCTTCCTTAAAGCGTCTAGTTCTTCATTATCTTTTGCCAAGGCACACTTGCTCTGCATAGACTTCACACTGTCACTTAACTTGGCCATCTCTTCATTGAATTGACTGATCTGTGACAAGAACAGAACGACTAGAAATAAGACAAACAAGCTAACATATTCTCCTCATTAGCCACACAGCAATTCACTAAGCTTGACTTAAAACAATTACCACTTCTCTGATATTTTCTGACACTGAAGCCTCGACAACATTGTCTTTTGAAACAGATGCAGTCTGAAACAATAATTATAACAAATAAACTGTGAACAAACTGACTGTTAGAACAAGAACTATACTTACACTCAAGCAATAAAGAGAATATAGAGTGCAACAGACAAGATAATTACTTTTTTAGTGGCTTCCTGCTTACTGGCTACCATAACAGATGACTGGCCGGGCAATCTAAATCCTGGTAAACTTGACTTTTCTCTTTGTGACTCTGGTTTCGCTGCTACTGGTTCGATGACAGTTTGCACTGCAGGTGTTGGTTTGTGGATCATGGTGGATGAATTACTGACAGTGGGTGGATTAGTGACAGAAGCTACTGACTGAGTAAGTACTGGCAATGGCTTTGCGACAGTAGCTGCTAACTGTACAGGGGTTGGTTTGGACTGAGCTATCATTCCTTGACTTGCCACTTGCGATGGAGCAGAAGACATTACTTTGGGTTTATCACCACCAAGACTAACACCCTAAACAAGATATCACCAAACAAGCTTCAATTTATTTTTTTAAATAATAAACTAAAAAACGCCCATGCTATGTTTTCATACAATCACACTGTGACATAGCATGTTATTTCTCCAAAATCCTTACAACTAAATGAAGAAAAAACATATTTTTTTCTATGCAGGAATGAGTGATAAAAAAACTTGTACCTGGGCTAAAACTGGTCTAGCAGTACCAGCAATAGACAGAGAACCTGTTAACTGAAATGAAAGTGCTGGAAAGCTTGACTGCACTTGACTGGTGGGTGTAGGTTTTATTAGTTGAGGTGGAGCTGCTGATGGTTTTGCTGATCCTTCACTTGGTAATTGTTGCGATGGTGGAAGTTTAAATGGCATCATCAGTCCTGATGGTTTCTGGCCTGTTACTGTAAAAGCACTTGAGGATGCCACTGCAAAAGCACCTGAAGCGACAGTAGATACAATTGGTTTAGGGCCTGCAAATGAGAAAGAGCTAGGTCCAACACTTGTAGGAGTCCCTGAAGGCAGAGTGCCTGCGGATGGCTGCTTGGAGTTTCCAAGAGATAATGAACCAGCCAGCAGGGGGCTTCCTTGACTTAGAGATTCGGGGATGGTTTGATTACAAGCCCCCAGTGAAAAAGAACCAAGCTTCAATGATCCTTTTTGTTTTGGGGCCTCACCTGCAAAGAAAATTTAACAGAGAATCAATTCTTCGTAACTGTGGTTTAGACTAAGTTATGAATATATGAAAATCATATATGAGAACTGCGGGGTGAAGAAATATATGACAGAAGATCATCGCAGTTATAGACGTTTTACGTTTTACTGTTCATAACCAAGACTTTTAGAAACTTTTAGGCGCTTTAAATGCCTCCCTTCCTCAAAACACGTTTGTATCTGCTTGGATGACACAGCCAGCCTGTTTTTCTCCTATACCTTATTTAACGTCTGGCAATTGATTCTTTTATATAAGGGAAGAGATTGACATGGCAAATACATTGTAAACATTGTGTTCATAGAATGAATATGAGAATGGACACTTCACAGAATTATGAACTCAAGTATGCTACAGATCGTTTGGTATTCAAAAATTCATACGCTTACCGACAGTTTCTTGAGACATATCACTCATCTTTGAGACAACAGACTTTCTTTTTCCTCCAGGTACCATTCGTTCAGGAGCATGCACTATGGAGTGATTTGCATTAGGAGTTTGGTTTAAAATGTAAAATGGACACAAAACTCCATCAGTGGATAGGATCATCAGTATGGGCGCTGGAGGAAGCTTTGCTTCTCCCTTAGTTATCTGTTTTATTGAACTGAAATCAATTTCTAATCCCATGGGAAATGTATCATCATTATCATTTGTTAATGGCATAACAGGTCGGCTGTCTTCTTCAAAACTCCACTTTTCCCAGGGAGCCTGTTTTGAAGAGAAATAATAACATCATGTAACACTTATTGCCTCTCATAAATAATACAGTAAGTTGAAAGTTCATACTTTATCATTTCCCTGTAGTATCTCACAAACATTCACCTGTCGACATCTCAAAGTTATGATAAATTGCTTTACTTTTAGGGTTCTTTTAACTCTAAACTGATGTTTTTGTTAGTTTAACTGGCATCATCAGAAAAAAAATCAAAACAGTGAAAGTTTGAGAAAAGCAAAAAATTTTTTCCTTTCCGACATTAAGTGAATACATGAGAGCCAAGATTGTGTGCACCCATTACAGGATTGCTGTGGCACTTTGATGAGAACACAACATTATGTATTGTCTTAACATTATATAAACAACTACCCCATCCAATTAAGATATGAGATACTTCAAGGTTAACTTTTGAAAAATAAAAAAAAAACGCTTAACTTAAAAAGATTATTGCACAATTAGCTGATATAAACACAAACCTCTCCTCCATATTTTCCAACAACAGCAGCTTCAAGCCCATTGGAAGTAGCTGACACCACCATGTTCCTAGAAAGAAAATAATTAATGGGAGCAAATTACACATGCTGATTTGAATAGAGCTGATAAACCCATGTAATGAAATCAAAATGCATTATTCCTCCTCTTAACCCTAGTTTCTCTTTTATCTCCTCTAATCTCCTCCATTGATCATGCTTTGTTAAAAATCTGTTTCTACTTAGTTGATTGGTTTGTTCTTTTGCTTCAAATCTTTGACCGGAAATGATTTGCCAGACACAAATCTCTTTGAGGGAATAAGACTCAGTCCACAAACGAGCACGTTTCCCTATGCAAACGAGTGAATCAACGCGTAGCTTATCACTATCACTTATCACGATTACCGAAATTCCCTGATAATTAAATTCTGTGTTGATGTACGCTCTGGTCAGATTAGACTGTTCACAGTCCCCAATTTTTCCTTAAGATCGTCGAGATCGAGGGCTGACTGTCAAAACTAAAAAATAATCCCCGACGCCCACCCTCTCGGTACATTTGAAATTCAAGATGGCCACCACTGACAGTAAGACAAGCTATATCTTGACAATCTCACGAAAAAATAGGGGATTGTGAACAGTCTATCGTCAGATGTCCTTCTATTAAGTTTATTTTGAAGTATTGCCCTAATAGGTAAAAAATGACTAGAACTTGCGGGTGTGAATTGATCAAAGCTTTTAATTTCTAAGGCTTACTTTCTGGCTTATAAAATGAACTGTATGTAAAAAGTGCAAGAGAAATACCGGAAAACTACCACTTTGTAGTTTAGAATAAAATATTCTTGAAACTGAGAATGTTTTGATGAAAGCTGTGAAATCGACCTGAATCAGTGCATGAAATCTTGGGTTTCCCGTTTTTATCTCACAATTGACTGACAACATAAAGACCGGGGGCAGTTGTAGTGTCAACTATTACTAGTATATTATTAATTTTGAGTAAAAGTCTGTGTAAGAGTGTGTTCCACCTTTATTGAACTGCAGTACTCACCAGTCAGTGAGATTCTTCATGTAAAACACTGGCTCTCGCTCCTCACTCATCACATAATAGATATCATCAAAGTTAGTGATTGACAATGGTTCATTTTCCTAAAGGAAAACAAAACATAAACAAAAATTAATGCTAAAACATTTCACGGGCATTTTCACTCAGCTAGCTGTTTCACAGCTTAGGAACAGATAGAAGAGAATGTATTCAAGAATAGAGTATGAAAGATAATTAATTTTTCATCTTGGTACATCTATGTACGATACGGTTGTTTATTGTTTGCCTCACGATAGTCACTCTAGTTATTTTCTTGTATGTTTTAACTGCATTCCGCTGTTCTTCATCGAACAATAATGTTGAGTTACTGAGTGGGACTACTGATATTTAAACCTTTATTGCTAGTGATTGATGTAAAATGAACCTCTGTTATGACTGGTGTTTTTTTTTTATACAAAAACATTGTTGACATCAGTTTCACTGCACTGGAAGAAACTGTTTCCTCAGCGGTATGCTGAGTATACTGGAATGATAAAATATGAGTTCTCAAAGAGTAACCATTGTACACAATGTACATGAAATGATAACCAGGTCAAAAACCCAGAGGGAAGGTGTGAATCTAAATTTGGAACAAAGCCAATATTGTCATTAAATAAAAATAAAAGCGCGCAGCCATTATTTTGATGGCTTCACAGAAAATAGTTATTATTGTAAGGCCGCAAAAAAAGTTGGCTAATTGAAATCAAAGCATTGTAGCACAAACAAAATTAATACAATCAAAGCTCTCGTAAGCGACCTCCTTGCAATTTCAAAAAAGTGGTCATAACTAGAGCTGGTCACTTACAAGAATGAGCTCTCATAAGTGATTGCATGGCAAAACATTAGTCAGGGTGGCTGTATATGAGAGCAAAAGAAATGAGTGTCTTTATATCTGATATCGGTCAACATCGCTAAACTTTACGTCCAATTTTTTTAGACCGTTAGTGCAATGAATAAGACTCTGAGTGGTTGCTGGTGGTTGCTTACAAGAGCTTGAAAACAAAAGAAAAGTCCAGTTAGGTAATCCTAAAAGTGATAGCAGTCACTTAACGGAGTGATTACTTACAACAGCTTTTTAAAACAAAGTTTAGTCACAGTTAAATGGGGTTCCATAAAGGTGGTTGTTACTAGAGCTGGTCGCTTACGAGAGTAGTCACAAGGGGGGCGTTGACTGTAGATATGACGATTGTTCAAAAACCAGGATGGTGAACAAGATATGTTTTTTATTTACTTAAGATGAACCTTAGTTTCACTTAAGGTACAGATCTAACTTCAGGAACTATAAAAATGTGAAGGGGTTTGATTGTGTTCATGATCCCATAATGATTGATTTCACATCTACATGTAAGTTCAAACAACTTACTGTGGAAATAAGCTGAAACTTTGGGGTATCCCCTTCCTCAAAACTAGAGTATACAACAGCAAACAGTTTTGATGCAATCCATAAAACATCTGCCACTACAAAACATAATGGAAATTAATGTCATGTAAAGCATGTCATAAATTGCAACAGAAGTTGGCACATTTGCAACAAAATGATAATTTCTTACATATATATAACTTTATTTACGTACATAGATATAACTTTATTTAAACCTGGATTTGGAATGACCACACTCGTCAGGCAATTTAATATTTACGTAAAAATTAATTAATCAATCATCAAATAAAATATCTAATAAATAAAACAAATAAAATATCAACACATGCACATAAAAATAATTAGAAGTCTTGTTTAAAAAAGTAAAAAAATAACAAAAATCTACACAGTAATATTATGAATAGGGTGCTTAAAAGTAGCCTGTGAACAGCAGACGCATTTCCGGTTGTCGCTTCTCACCCTCCGAAAAATAGTGTCTGCAAACCCGGGCGGTAAAACTATTTCCGTGACGTAAAACCTTTTGTTTTGATGTTGGCCAATCAGATCAAAGGACACAATACAGCTCGAGTGACTCCTCGTGACCTCGCGCGTTGAAGACGGTCTTGGATTTCAGCGAGGGTTACCAAATAAGCTTCGGAATGTGACTTTCACAACGGCAACAAGGTTTCCTGCGACGTTGAATGCTGACTTCTTTATGAAACAACTGCTTCTTAATCTATCCTCTTAAGCTGTGTATGTGATGAGGGCCTTTGGTTTTGATTTATAAAATACAGTAGTACATGACATAAACAAAACCTGGACAAAATAACCGCTACAGCGAAAGGAAAGTAACATAGCTTAATGACATCATGCTCATACTTCTTTATTTCAATTTAACCAGTGCTGACAAAAGGTGGTGAATCAATTATACAGACACATCCTTGACTGATTCAGAATTCAAGGAGTGATTCAGAAGTTCTTCCGTTATCAGGCAGTGTATTCCATACTTGAGGAGCAGCATTTTATCTGAACAATTATTGTAATCCATGGGGGGGTTTGTACTGACTCCTGTTAGATTCAAAGTTTAAGGTACCTCTGAGGTTGTACGCTCTTGTTTGTTTTATCAGTAGTGATCTTAAATATTGTGGAACAATTCCATAGAGACTCTTGTATATGGTGACTTAACCATATTCACCACAAAGAGTATCTATGGAATTGCTCCACAATATTTAATTTGAGATCATACCTAGGTGAGGGTCATCAGTAAACAGTTCTGGACAGCGTATTCCCTTTTTTACCTCAAGGGTCTGAAAAATAATACAGAAGAAAGCACCAACGACAAAAAACTGTTTCTTTATTGTAATTATATAGTCAAACCTCAATCACCAGATATAAAAAATACCTGATTTTAACAAGAATGCACCAGGGATGAAAAGTTTGGAGCACCTCATAAAATCTTCAAAAATCTTTGGATATTGATTAGGTTCTCAGCAAAATGATGAAATATTAATATTAATATTTTTGTTGTACTGTCAGATGAAGCACGTGCCTATCAAACTGAAATAATTGACAGCCTGGAAAATTCAATGATGTTTTAAAAGTAAAATCAATTTTACATAAGCACAACAAACATAAACTGAACAGGCCAGTCAAAATGTTTCACAAAGGGTGTGGTTTTTATTTAATAGTACTAAACCTAAGTGTTGATTAGGCAGCAAATATTTCACTGAAAGTGGCAAATTATATATCATACCTGTGAATACTGTGTTAGTTTACCGTCCTTATGACCGACAACCAACTGCTTTCCTTTAGGGCTCCAACAAACTATATACAAAAGTAATGTTAAAGGATATAAATTGTAATGATACACAAAAATACCTTGTAACAATTACCTTTCCAAACCCATAATTATATGCCAAGTCTCCTGGTTATGACACTGATCTCCCACTCTCTCATAGAGATCACTAAGTCTTCCGGATAAAATAATCGACTTTTGAGCTTTTACATGCTTTACAGATGTAGTTTAAAACTTAGCCCATTTTTATAGTCAAACTCAAATTTGTTTTATTCAGAGTACAGTTTCTGGAACATCTTTGCATGGATTAGTGATGAAAGAAAATTTTACTGTTATGTACTTCATGTAAGACTTCATAATTCCTTTGTCATAATTTGGGGGGCTGGGTCGATGTGTGTGTGTGTACGGGGGAGGGGGGCAGGAAGGGGGTTCGGTGACAATCGGGGTGGGCTAGTGCAAAAGAGAGAGTGTCCAGATTTTTGCTCTCCCTGGGGAGGTTGGCATCCGTGCACAACCCATCCAAAATCTATGCCTTTGAACAGAACCCAGTAGTGTAAAATTATTGTCATCTAGCATGTAATAAAGTGATGGATAAATATAAATATGGATAAATAATACTAAAATTTAATGATATCCATTTACTTCAACTGGGCCACCTCCAAGGTTTCATAACAATTGTTTCTCCCAAAGCAATCAATTCCACTCTTACAACGCAAGAAATTCAAAGGCCTACCGTCTACCATATTGTCGTACAAACATTAAGAAGTTCTTGCCCTTTTATCAAGGGCCTAAGTTTTTTAATTCACTCGATAACGAGGTCATCAGCTCTCAATCCCTTTCCTCTTTTAAGAAAAAATTGAATATTAAACTATTGAGAAAATATGAAATCAGTTCATAGATCTTTCCATCTTCGATGGAAAGAACATGTTTTCTTTAAAAATTAATTGATGTTAAACAGCTCTAACCCGTAGTTCGGGGAGGCCTTAACCTCTCATAAGCTCCTATAGTTTCTGTTAGGTCTCCTCGCCACTTCTTTTTTTCTCTCTTTTCTATTATCTTTTGCAATTATTGTGTGGCAAATAATGTAAAATAAATAAATAAATAGTTATACTAATAGATTAATAAAGCAGGGTTCATACAAAAAACTGCAACCATTTTTCAAGGACTTTTCAAGGACTTTTCAAGGACCACATTAGATTTTCAAGGACAACCTACTAGGAATATAATTTCACAGATTGTACAAAAATGCATATTCCCAGTATAATTCTAATAAGACTTTAAGGCTTTAACTGTTTGCTTCACCAAATTCTCTACATTTTTCAGTTCACTTGTCTTAAACTGATAGTTAATTATTGCATAAAACATGGAGCACTTTATGTAAATGACCTTTACATTCACTGAGCTACGATTTATATTCTGTCTTGGACAACCAAAAAGCATCAAAAAATTCTTCCCAGGCTACTGCATTCAAAGTTGAAGAAAATTCAAGCTCTTTTCAAGGACTTGCACAGAAATTTAAGGACTTTTCAAGGAAAAATGGAATTCAAGGACTTTTCAAGGACTTCCCCTAAAATTCACGGACTTTTTAAGACTGTGCGAGCCCTGTAAAGTAATTCTTACTTGCACTAGCTTTCAGGTCTTCAGGCAGAGTTGCTCGTGTTTTTACTTCTGAGTCGGTCAACTCCATGATCGAAATAGATCCGGAACTGAGACAAACGGCAAAAAGACCAACAACTACAGGATTCCACACAAGGTTTACAATGCTAACTCCTGTAAGAAAGTTAGTTTGGAGGATGAATTAAAATAATCCACAAAATTAAATACTACTTACTGCTATTAACTGAGAGTGAGGTGGTCATTGCAGGGATAAAATCTCAGACCAAGGCCTTGATGGTTCAGGTCAATATAATTATCAAGACTGCTCGAGGTCTGAGATTTCCCTGTAATGACCAAATGGACGAGGTTAATAAGGTACTTTTTATATGGCCTGTTTTGCCCTATTCTTAAAATGAATACAACAAAAACACCGGAGTAATTTTCAAAATCCGCCCGTAATATAAAAGGTCATACAAGGTCGTGTTCACTGAACCAAGATGAACCTGGCGATATGATCAAAACCACAAGATACAGTTTCTTTGACAATGAGAAATTTTGGACGTGAGCCTGCGATCAATAAAAACCAATAACTGATCAGCAGATAACTTTGAAATCTTTCCCAGTCATTACAAGAAAATCTTGGCTTAGCAGCCAATAAGAGAGCATGTACTATTGTAGCCACATAATAATTTAAAATATTGCTGGCTTTTCAAATCAGTAAGAAAAGGTATGAAAAACTATGGCAAAACACATAAAACAAAAACAAAACAATAGAAAACACTACAGCAATGTATATGTAATATTCTTGGCAAAAGTAAGTTTACTAATCAAATGACAACTAATTATTTTGTACCTGCATCACTGCTAAGCATAGTTTCACCAAACTTTGCATCTGAATTGTTCTGCAATAAAATGAAATTGCTGAAGAAAACCAGTAATAAAGAGTTTGCCTCATAAGCATGAGTTGACAGGGGTTTCAATAAGCACCGACAGAAACACGTCGGCTTCTTTGCTCATAGAGGTCGGCTACTTTTTTGCAGAAAGAAGAAGCAACTAGTTTGACTAACGGTTTAAACAAAAAATATATCATAAAATCTGACTGAAAATGTAATTATGATTTGTTTTTCAAAAGGCCAACTGGTTTTCCTCTATGCTTTAGTCATGTGAACGCTATATTTCAGTCATTTTTTCAAAAGTTTCTTACAGGTTTATGCAGAATTTGTTTACATGCAAAAGTACGTAATTTAGTTTTCATCATTAATTTGTTCATTGCTCATAGCAATTGATTGTGTGACTGGTAAATCAATAGCTACATTTTCTTGAATGAAAAACACACTCTTTTGTTCTCAAATTTAGTCCCCAAAAAACTGAAAATCGCATTTTTAGGGCTTTGAAATTTCAAAATTTTCTGGGGCGGAACATGCTGTGACCCCCACCAACAGGCTTTTGCACATTATGCTAGCATTTTTTCGAGCATTTTAGTGAGGCAAAAGCATTGAGCATTATTCAAGCATTTTAGTGGCATTTTCCCGGAAAATTAATTTTTTGCGAGAAAATAAAATAGAAATTAACGTTTTTGAGGAGCCCATGGCCATGGGCTCCTGCTTTTTTAATGAAAATGAAGACTAAAACTCAAAATTCACAAAAAAACCTAATACAGCTGAGTGGAGACTGAGAGCAAGTCAGCGGTTTTACCTTTCAAGACTCAAGAGTAAATGAACAAAAAAACAACGTTTGTATGATGAGCATTTCCAAGCATTTTAGTGACTTTTTTGGGGGAGACCGAGCATTTTAGTGGGAAAAATGGAGCATTAAGGTGGAGCATTTTAGTGGGGAAACAAAAGCATAATGTACAAAAGCCTACCCCCAGAAAAGGGGACCAACGGCCCCTTGTTGATATAGTCGGTTACTCTATCCAAACCTCTGGCTACTTCAATTTTTTTTGACAGCCCTGGTTGACATCATTGTTGAGGGTGATAAAATTCAATAAGATAATATTGTTTTCATTTTATTCTTCTACAAAAGATACTGAAAAAAATAAAATCAACTTACAGTACTCCAAAGGGTGGGTACGTCAAAAAGAGCCATCACTTTCTTATTACCATTCTCATAACACACAGACAATGTCAAATGATCACCACTAAGACCAACAAATCGAACAGAATGACCAATCTCTATGAAGGATGATTTACAGTGCTGAACTAAAAAGTGACAAGAAACAGTAATTATTAAAACTAATTCTATACTGTATGGGTAAAGGTAATTTATTTTTAATATTTATTCATAATTAATATAATATCGTACTTTCTCTTTGTCTCCTATGAATAATCAGGGTGAGAAAACAAAGGAAATTTTGATTTAAACTAGGTTCAATACTGGTCTAACCTGAAAATAAGTGCTTTGTACATGTAATTTCATGAAAGGTATTACAATAATTGAACATTCATTAAGCGGCCACCCAAGTGGTATGCTGGGGCGAGTAGCCACTTAATGCATGTTGGCCGCTCAGCAGAGGTTTGTCATACATCCTGTAGCAGCATAACCTTCAGCAGAATGAATGAACTCTCAAAAAAACATATGATGCAAGGCCTGGCATTACTGGAGTTTAATCAGTCCAGCTCACCTTCCATCTGGGACTGCATTTTTGTTGATATTTTTAAAATAAAGCCAGACTAAACATTTCGAGAACCACTTCATAGAAGTGAAGACAATAGGACAATTATTCTCATTGGGATGGCCAAAAGGAGGCCATGCATGCTTAATGGAGGTGCCCCATTAATAAAGGTTTCATTTTATAGAATCTACAATAAATTTTGGGACTTTGATAACTGGGTTTTTCATAGAGGGTGTGCACTTAATAGGTGGCCCATTAAAGGAGGTACAACTATATTCATGGTAGTTTGGGTGCCATTGGGCTTTGTAGTTTACTGTTTGTATCACAATAGTCATTACACTGTAGACAATTTCGCCTGCTTCCACCTTTACTCCAGGTTCTCTTCAGGTACATTGTTTAACCTTCATATTAAAAAGGGCCATGGGACTGACAAAATTAACACCTTTGTCACAACAAGGCTTCATTATATATTGGTGTATTGACATTCACTTTCAGCTGGGACAAAGATGGAGGATTCACTGTTACAGTGTTGAATAAGTGTGAAGGACCCACACAATGTTCTATACATCTTCTGACGTTGATGTACACCAGTTTATGATCAGTTATTAAAATAATAATATCACCATAATACATGTAACTAAAAGAATGTCATTAAGGACACTGCACCAAGTAATTTTATCCCAATTAACCACTAAATCTTTTCATGGAAGGACAACAAACATATTTTTTAGTGTGCACATTCTACGTACCAACATTCTGCATACTGCCTTCTACAGACTCATTTATCGTCTCAATGGTTTCTGTTTTAATCACCTTTACTCCTAAAAACATAATAAATTACAGTGTAAAAGAGCATTCACTGTTCAGTATTTTAAGAATATTCATTTTCATATTGTTTGATCTTTATGAACTTCTCCAGTCTAATCTTTGATGTTGTTGTTTTTTTTAAAGGTGGCTACACTGGATTTTTTAGAGGGGATGTACCTCTTGAGTTTGAGTATTTAGCACGCTGGCATTAACAAAGATATCAGAAAAAGGATACCACAGCTGTGTTATAATTATGATGATAAAAACTTGTTGTGATCATGTTTCATTAACATTGGTATTACTATGGCAATGAAAGGACACCATCACCTTTTCTACTAGCAACAACACCAACAACATAAGCTTTATTTGCATGACTATAATTATGTAGTTACAGTATTGCAAAAGCTTAAACATAAAAAAAAAAAAATAATAAAACAAACAAACAAACAAACAAATCATAACAATGATAATGCAATGCAATGAATACTATAGTCAATCAAGTGTCATCAGCATGATTTGATAACAAATTATTACGTAAATCATTACAGTATATAACATATACATTACATTATGTAAATCATGACATTACAGCCTTTATATTTCTCAGTACCAGAAGTATTTTTTTCAGAAATTGCTTAAGGACCTTGTACCTCCCTTAGTTATCTCGATTATGGGAAAGTTTGAACAAATTCTACAATCTCGAGAGCGTTTTAAGGGTCATAAAAACAATGAATAAACATGCTATCAACATGGTTGGTCAATATCTAAATAAAATGATGAAGTCTGAAATTAATGCACTTTTATCTAAAAGTGGTTCGATTAGATTTTTCACAACTGCGAGGATCTTTATCTGCAGTTCATAATATGATTAATATTATTTCTGTTATATGTCAATTCACATCGTCAACTTTTCTACAAGAAACAAGGATACCTTGTGAGTATTGGGCTGAAACACATGTTAATTTTTTTGACTGACAGTCAAAAAACTGAAATAGCTACTTAAATGAACTGTATTCCAATTTTCTCAGTCTCAGTATTCCAATTACATGTACTTTAATACAAATAAGAAGCAGGTTTGCCATAAACCCACTTATCTTTCAACTAATTAATATGCAAAAGTGCAGGGGTATGAATAAGTCTGTTTTCTCTGTCCAGAAAAGGTTTCCAAAAAAGTGAAAAAAATAAAAATAAAAAATGAATAAATGTTAACAACTACAGTGTACATGCACTTGATGGATAACCTTCAATATATTGCTACCCACCAGCTGACAACCTTTCTCATAACACATAATTATTCGATATCACATGCTACAGCTGTACAGCCAATCATGTAGTTTACCTGTTGGGCAACCCACAAATGTCAGGCCAAACTTTGATGACACAGCAAGTAAACTGCAGCGAGGAGTGGGCAAACTTTCAGGTGCCTCAAACATTCGGATTTTTCTCATTTGTTTAAATGTAAAATCCTACAAAAAAAGAGAACAATAAATAAACATTCAATCTAATGCCCTTCAAACATGCTCTCAATTAGCCTCCTATGCAGATGTTCTCAGAGGTTCGTCACGTATTCCTGCCCCACAAACGTCTGCGGACTAGAGCTGTAAAAATGGTAGACCAATTACACCACACTTCCAGATCTGGGAAGTGCACTTTGGACCTTGAGAAATTTCGCGTGAGACTCAGCTCCAGAAAAGATCAGAAATGTTTCAAAAGGTGAAGACCTTATACTTTTAGAACAAACTACTCAGGTAACTCACACACCTTTGTACTATAAAAACTGCCCTTACGATCTCATTGAAAAAAATGCCTCTGAGGTTTAATTTGCTGAATGGAAGTCAGCTTTACTACAGAACAATAAAGTGCAAAAAAAAATTCTGCCTTTTGTTCAGTTACAACGGACAACTCCGCCGTTACCTCACCCACAGAACAACTTTATGAGCAAATGAAATCTAATCCAGCCTTTACAAAGAGAAATATACAAAACTTCAATGCTTATCTCCTAAAATATATTCCTGTCCGGAGCTAATGTATTTGGCTTGTCAACACTTTGACTTCAACAGTGGCCATTGGCTCTCCAATAATCTGCATGTGAGCTCCAGCTGATATTTGTGAACAATGGGAGAGGAATTTAACTACTTGTTTCAGCAAACGTTAGTGGGGAAGGAATGCGTGATGTACCCCTAAGAATGTCTGCATGGGACTGGCTACAATCAGGGACAAAAGTAGTTGACACACTCGTTTAAAACAGGTGCTTTTTACAAAAATTTAATTCATTTATTATTTCATTCCTTTTAAATGCCGTAAATCCCCTCACCCCCCGAATCAATGTTGTCTGAGGTAAAAAAAAGACTTGAGGGTCCAAAGTTCAACTTTGATTTTGGGGGGAAGGGGTTGGGGTAGACAGGAGAAGGGAATAAGTAGATCCACTATGCAAAAAGGGGCCATTTTCCGGAAGTGTGTCAACACTTTTGTCCCTAATTGTAGCTCTAACCTGCAAGCAGTGGTTTCTCTAGGCCGGATGCTACGCTACAAAGGGAGAGAAACCATTGCGAGCACCCGTCTACTTCTTTGATCGAGCCGTTGTCCAGCGCTTTGGATGAATAGATCAATTTTTAAACACGTAAATCCTGTTTGAAAGCAAGTTTAGGCTCTCACGCATTTGCTTACGCTTACAGTTGCTGCCTTAACACGTGCTTGCTGTGGATATTCAGTATTTCTTTGGATTATTTATTCCTATCTACTTACTTTGTCAAATGTAGGCGAACCCAAATGGAGTTGAATTCCAAGGGACCATATCCAAGTTCAAGAGTGAAAAGAAGAATAAATTTCATCGTTCCTTGTTTACATTATCCATAAAATGCAAAATTAGGAATCTTCACGTCGTAGTCGTGCAAAAATGGCAAAGAAATGCAAAAATAAAAGCGTGATGCACGTGCAAAGTTGTTGTTTTGCTTATTAAACCTATCGTTTTGTTGAAGTTCTCGTTGCCGTCTTGTCGACGGATATTCGTAGTCATCACGTGGACGTGCATACTCGATGGAAAAGCAAACGGTTGCTTGCAGTGGTTTCCTTCCCATCGAAGAGTAGCGTCTGGCCTGGAGAAACCACTGCTCGCAGGGTAGGCTAGCTCTCAAATTATCTATTTTCACTCAAAAGGAAAATAAGTGACTCCTTGTAGTCTTTAAGTGCTAGAGATTTTTTTCTTTGTTACATGTTTGCAACAATGTTGATTGTCCTATCTTTCACATTCCAGACTTGCCAACTCTCATGATTCGGCCGTGAGCCTCACAATTTTTTTTTACTTTTTTCACAGTCTCGCGACAAGACAACCAATCTCACAGTTTTTTGGGAAATATCATTCTGCAATGAAATGTTACCTTATTGAATAAAAATACAAATTTCGGAGGGAATGCTAGTGCCTGTTTAATCCTTGATGGGGCTTTGTAAGAACATTTTAGCCAGGAAGTTGGCTTATCCGGAAGAAACGACTGTTTGCTGTAAGTTTCGTCCCAGTGATGACCTATTCTCTGACCTCTTAAAGTCATCAAAGAAAAGAGGCATCTAATTTGTTACAGGAGGGACCCAGCTAAAGCAGGGTACTATTTTAAAGAACCGGTTAATTCCCCCAGTGGAAAAGGGGACTCGTTTAATCTTGATCGGGTAAAAAAATATAATCTCACTACTACTTTTTGTAGAATATCGCGATATTTTTTTCATGAGTCTCCAGATTTTCCTTTATCAGGGCTTGGCAGGTCTGCACATTCGTTTATCCGTGTTATGTTAGCCCGGGCGGAGAACTGAGAGCAGTTGGATTTGACTGGGTTAAAAAATAAGTTAGCAAGTGCCACGAATAGAAATGCGATTTACCTTAACCTCCCTCTCTGGGGGAAGTTCATCTTCACTGTCCGTCATTTTCCTACAACTTCACTGTCAGACAAGACAACAGAATTGACGAATTTACACAGACAGTGCGCTTGGTCTGTCCGCCATTTTAGATAGTTAGATATCGCAAAGAGCGATGGGTGGTATTGGGATGATGGGAGACTAGGAACAAGGAAATTGGAACGCCTGGTCAAAATCTTACTTCTCGGAAATCAAACTCGGCTCAAAATAGAATTCTTGGAAGAGGTCAAAACAAGAAATGTGACAGACGTCAAGCTTGTCATTGGTTAAGCAGTGGACAACGCGGAAATAGCCATTGCATATATTAATATAAATTATAACACAGTCTGTAAATGCGGCCATGTTCTTGCCGGTATTGTTTGATTATGTTAGCTTATGTTTTTACTCAAGCTGACTCAAGCGACATGACCATGGATGGCGGCAATGTTTTCTTATTATACACAGTTGAATTAACATAGACTTTGAGTATCTTAAACTCTATTCAGTTTGAAAGCCCTTCGCTTAGTGTTTTCAATAATGGAAAGCGGTTCTTCTTCCCGGCTCTCAGCCAAGACGTTAACAGAGCTGAATGAACAGGTCACCAGGATACTCAAGTCCTGCGAGGGACAATGGCTGGAGCTCCATTTATTTAAACAGGTTTACAAGAAAACTTTTGGGAAGAACTTTGACGCACACTACAGGCAGCTGAAATCAAAAAAGCTTAAAGATGTCATGAAATGCCTAGATTCTGTTACTGTACTGGAACAATCAGATATAATTAAGATAATACTGAAAGATAAGGTGGAGGATAGCTCGATGTCACCAGGACATGTAACTTCAGTTTCACGTACAGATATTGCAGAAGAAAGTATTTCATCGGTTTCCACAACTCATAGCCCTCCCCTGTCTCCTTTTCCCTCAGCATCATTTCAAGGTCAGTACAGTACTGAACTATGTTAATTCATGCATACTTATCTAAAGTTATGTTAAACCCTGTGGCTATATACCAGGCAGCCAGGATCTTAAAAATACTGAAGCCTCTATCAGTGACAGATCCAAGGGAGAGGCTTGGGGGGCCTGTCCCCCCCCACCCCTTTATTTTGACCAAACTGATTTTTTTGGAGACCGGGCAGCCCTCTTTTCTAAGGGTCTGGGTGACCTTCCCCCCTTATCTCAAGGTCTGGATCCGGCACTGCATCTAGCCAAAGCGCATTTTAAATGCTTTAAGATGATGATTTGTCTCTTGTTGCCTTTAATCATACACTACAGCAGGCCAGCACAAAATCAACTGAGCTGCTACTAAGCTAAACAGCAACACTAGGAGGGAAATGCAGTTCATTTTACTTGAATGGGCGATTCCAGAAAATATCCATACCATACCACGGACGGCTTCCATGTTTTAAACCCCCCTTGCCTTCGGAAATTCCAAAATGCGTTACCCCCCCATGCCCTCAGAATTCCATAATCGTGAACCCCCCCTCCCCTTCAGAATTTCCGTTTTTTTTGGGAAGTACATTTTCGACTTAGCAACGCCTATATGAACAAACGAACATGAATCTATGCCTCCTCAGGGCTGTGATCTAGCGGCGCTAGGCGACAAGCTTTACTCTTCAGCGACAAGAAAAACCTACCGCTAGTGACCAGGCTGTGAAAACTTCTTTTTAAGTCCGAATTTGGCTATAATAATAAACACCATTTACGGCAGTTTTACTCCTCTTTATTTTCTTGTGCTGTTTTGACGTTTACAAAGCAGAATAGCTCAAATTCAGACAGTTAAAATCTTTCAGCGGTCAAATATACCGTCGAGTCTTGTTGCGTCCTTTTATACGTCATGTAGTGTTCACGAAAAGTGTTCTCAACCCATATGTCTCATGTAGTGTACATGAAATGTATCATGATAAAAGATTAGGTCGAGTATAAGGAAAATCATGAGACTTGTTTATTTTGGGGGCAATTAAGGGATTTCTTACATTTTTCGCGGACATTCCCTTCTCTAAACCCTTCAAATTATTCCTTCACAATGTTTAGCCCACAAACAACAGACCTCGTTCTCCCGAGTCTTCCTCCGATTGCCCTCCGACGGTCCGAATGCTTCCAGGCGTTCCTTGGAAGCGAGGGACTGGTGCGAGTTTTTTATCGTTCATCGGACGGGAGTAACAAGAAATTTGCAAGCGGTAAGATTTATTCATGTGACAAGAAATTCATCAAGGTAAATGTGAAACCCACGTTTTACTGTTCACTTGTATAAGTTATGAGCGTAAACACGTGTCTGATCTATCGATCCTTGTCTTCTGCTTCCGCGGTCATACGTTCGTGGATTATTTACGAACTACAAAAGTCCACAACAATACCGTTTTCAAGGAACTCACTCTACACTTTCTACTCCAGAAATCCCACCTGTGGAATTCACCAGTACTTTCGGATATCCAATCGTAAATACCACCCCCCCATGCCCTCAGAATTCCATAATCGTGAACCCCCCCTCCCCTTCGGAAATCCTAGAAGCCGTCCGTGGTATGGTATGGATATTTTCTGGAATCGCCCAATACTGAAATTAATGAGTGCTTCTGAGATTGATTCTATTATTGTTTCTTGAGGAATACAAGTCATGGAACCCATCACTTCCTTCTCTATCTCCTTGGACTCCTCTAAAAAAAGGTTACTGAAAACGAACACTGGTTGCAATTTCATTAACTGTTGCTCCTACTGTACATTGTTCACCCATACAATGGAAGTCATTTCTTCTAGCTATAGTCACCAATCCTTGCAAATGATGATCAAGGGGCTGTGTCATGGAAGTCCAGTTCATTTTGTTTAATTTTGCCAATTACTCCCCCCCAATCGCTATGGAACTTAAGGTGACTCGACCCAGTTTTTTCGGGGGGGTACCATCCTACTTTGAAGCTCTCTGGTATCCCCACCTTTACTTTTATCGTAAGTCTAACACATAGAATGGATAACATATAGATCAATCTACAATATAACATAAAATTTTTGGCGATCGGAGTAAACGTCACGTGGTTATAATGCCACGCCCCTTTGAGGTCTGAGTCGAAAATCTGCTGTTACCGGCATTTTTCGTGAAAATCTCTCTGCTACACATAGTGAGCATTAGTGCGTTGCGCTGAACAGAGTTTCACCAAAATCGCAAAGACCCAATTCGAGAAATTCAACGGTTTCCAAATTTAGGTCATAATTTCTGCGAAAATGGTAAGCAAACTTTACACGGATTATATCTTATAAACTATGAGACTCATCTCTTTATTTTGGGCATCCTTTTAACAGATGGGTCCTTGCAAGTCAGCAAAACGCTTTAGGGCCTTGTAAATGCGCGCGATTTCGAGCAAAGCAAACATATAGAAATTATAGTTTTCGCTATTTGTTGACGTTTGTCAGCGTTTAAGAGTCCTTCTCACGAAAAAAGCATTTTCTTAAAAATTCGTAGTTTTTTTTCCTTCAAATTTTTTCAGGGCCACAATTGATTAACTAACTACCCGGACGCTGAATTTCATGGTCATTGAAAAACTGTGACATTATCTTCTATAAGCCCAAACTTGAGTAAACATTGAAGATTTTTAGCGTTTTGGCTGAGTTTGTGCTTTGGGAGTTGTCTATTGTTTCTAGTCTGTCATGATACAGCATTCTTGTTCAGCACGCGTGCAATGACCGCGCTTGGCTGACTTCCGAATGCTCACTGAGATATAATAATTTTGGTACTGTGAGACAGGCCATCGCATGATACATAGAGGTTTAACTCACAATTTTTAATCAATTGTCGTACTTCTTGTGCCTTTGCAAAAAAATCAAGAAGTGCTACATGCACTAAATCTACTTACTATTAAAAAAATATCATTTTTTCATAGGTTTAATGCAAGCCAATAATTAAACCAACTCGTGACGGGAGTATCTCAGTGAGCATTCGGAAGTCAGTCAAGCGCGGTCATTGCATGCGTGCTGAACAAGAATGCTGTATAGGCCCTAAAGAGTTTTGCTGACTTGCAAGGACCCATCTGTTATAAGGATGCCCAAAATAAAGAGATGAGTCTCATAGTTTATAAGATATAATCCGTGTAAAGTTTGCTTACCATTTTTGCATAAATTATGACCTAAATTTGGAAACCGCTGAATTTCTCGAATTGGGTCTTTGCGATTTTGGTGAAACTCTGTTCAGCGCGAGGCACTAATGCGCACTCTGTGTAGCAGAGAGATTTTCAAGAAAAAATGCCGGTAACAGCAGATTTTCGACTCAGACCTCAAAGGGGCGTGGCATTATAACCACGTGACATTTACTCCGATTGCCAAAAATTTTATGTTATATTGTAGATTGATCTATATGTTATCCATTCCATGTGTTAGACTTACGATAAAAGTAAAGGTGGGGATACCAGAGAGCTTCAAAGTAGGATGGTACCCCCCCAAAAAAACTGGGTTGAGTCACCTTAAAGTAAGCAAAGAAATTACAGGTAAATGACAAAATCAGAGATCCGAGACAAACAAATAATATGTCTCCTGAGCATTATTTTTGAAGTTGCAAGTGGCAGGGATCAACTTTGAAAAACTGTTAGACTGAACAGTTTTCAAAAACCCTATAATTTCAATTGATTTCAATCTTCTTCAGTTTTGCCCATCCATGCCATCATTTGTTTCTGTTATGTTATTTTAACCTTCCTTTAAAGTTTTAAGCAGATATTTTTATGTTTCTCTTGATTTAAGAGGCATTTTGTAATTTCCTAATTTGGCTGAATTTAGTGACACAGCTCCTTTAATAATTGGAAAGTAAGATGTCTGTTTTTTGTCTTTTTTCTTAAGAGCCTTACCTGCCGTTATTTTTACATTACTGTTACTTCATGCTGTTTGTAATTATTTTAGGTAGTGGATGTGGAGATATGCATGTAACATCACCAAAAGCGACAAGAATACCTGTAAGTGAAATTGGGAAGACAGATCCTTTTGAAACAGAAAAGTACTCAAATGAAGGTCTATCACTGCCTCTTGTTGGGTATGAAAGATTACTGAATGAGATGAGTGCAGCAAACACAGGAACACCAGTTACCTCTTCTCCACATCTCAGTGCTGAAGCAGCAGTTGGCAAAACATCAGTTCACAATACCAGTACAGCAACTGGTTTGCTCTCAGACAAAGAGTTGACAGAGATAAAGGAAAATGCCACCAGGATACTGGAGTCCTGTGATGGAAAATGTCTTGAGCTTCAGCGGTTTAAAAAAGTATATAGGGACACTTTTGGTAAGAGATTTTTGACACCAAAAAAGCTGGAGAAGGTCAAGTCAGCATTAGATGATGTGATTTTGCTAGAACAAGTTGGAAAGAAAATGAACATAAAACTGAGAAATCAGGCAGAGAAGAGGTCAGATTCAGCAGAGTCTTCACAGAGTGTGTCAGATAACTTAAATGAGTCTGCCGCAGCTGTTGAAAATGAGCCATCCTTAGGAGACACTACATCGGTTTTAACGCCACAGAAACCTGCACTGTCACCTATTTCTGCTGCTGCATGTAAAGTGTCAAATCTGCTTCCATTGCCACTGTTGCCACTGCCAACTCAACTGAATGGTAAACTGCAAAATGATACTAGGTTTAATAATACACTTAATATTTGACTTTAACTGGAGCCACTTTGTAAGTTGACAAGTTTCAAGTCTCTGTTGTTGCTCAAAGTGAAATTTAGGCTGAAATGATTTAATTCCACCTAGCCTTACTTTGAATTCATTCTCAATTTCCTTTGATTCCTAACTTTTCCTAGTTATTCTTGATCACGAATAATAAGGACCAAGAGATTAATTTTGAACTGAGGATAATAAAGGTGCTATATCTAAATAGAGGAAATGCCCAGCATTAACAAAATTAATTTACATTAGGTCTAGAATGTTCAAAAGGTCAAAATTCAAGTTCATGTATTTTATTTTTGATATGGATATGAAAGTGTTTGAGTATGCATGGTATTTGTTTTATGTTGGAACCACTCTAAAAGAAATTTAATTTCACCACTCAAGTACAATTTTTAAATTGTTTAGAAATGATTATCATCAATCAGGAGACTAAGTATTCACCAGAAAGGGACAGCTTTGTGCAGTCAATTGTAACAACTGAAAGGCCTAACATTTTTTATCATAAACAACATCAATATTAGTCCTAACAAGAGAATTCACCTTTTTTTTATTATAAATTATTTTTCAACTTCTTTAGGAACAGCAAGTTTTATTGAAAGAGAACCACCAATTGTTATAGGGGCAACAGCAAAGCCAGTTCCTTCTCTTCTTGAAATTATGGATCAGCAGCAGAGAGAAATATCTACAAACGAAGGCCTAGATGTGCCTCCTATTGGATATGAAAGGTTACTTAATGAGAAGAGCACACAAAGAAAAGGAACACCAGTTCTCCCCTCTCCGCAGCTCAATCCTTCACGGGTTAGGAAGGTCGGCACACCTGGTCCTTTTGAAAAGTCAATTAACCACGCCCAGCAGATAACTGGTACAATTACGCCAAAAACTAGTAGGACTGACTGTTCTCTTCAAGAAGTTAACAAGGCAGCAGAGGATATCATTAACTCTTTGTCAGAAGAGGGTAAATTTGTTTCCCTTGAGGAGGTAAAAGCCAGACTCTGCAAGGAATTTGGAAAGTCGAATTTCAGAGCATTTGGATTTAGAAAAGACAATGCTATTCCTGCCCTTCATGAACTTATCCAATTGCAAGCTAAAGTGAGTAACTGCTCAAATTCGTTCCCAGGGTTCTAGTAGTAGGAGAGCGAGAGACCCATGGAAATGAGGTTAACAACTGCATGCTAGAGGGGTGCACGTTATAAACAGTTACGCATTTGGGAAAAACACCTATTCATGAAAGATTGTGCCCATACCTGGGAACACAGTGGTTGATTTGAGAAGTAGTGATAGATTAAGCAATGCATGTTGTGGAAAATTTAACCCTGCATAAGTTACTCGCCTTAAAGCCAACTACAGTTAGACAAGGTCTTATTTCCATAAGTGGTAAATATCAGTAGCTTGAAATAGTTGACTAACAAACCTGAGGCCGACTGTAACTTTGATAGCCAAATACTCAGTTAACTTGAACTTCCTTTTTTTAACTAAGGTAAGCTTGTTTGTTCATGCCTACGTGATGACAAACAGTATCTGCACACTTCACGAACTGAACCAGAGCCTTGCAGACTTAGGATCCAAGTCAGACTTTGATGAACTAAAGTTGGGTCCCCTGTTACAGCAGCCTGTGGTGTATGACATGTTCAAGCCTCCATCAGATCTTCCATCTCTGCCTAACATAACAACCATTCAGATCCTAAAACATTTGGAGAAGTACATGACTCAAGAGGATTTGTGGCACAAGAAAGTGGATTTGAAGCTTTTTCTTGATTATCTATGTGAACAGTATGACTGTGATACTCCATATGAACTCGGGGTCCGAATACAGAGTGTTGGATTGGCAATTTCGGTATGTTAAGTCCGTAATTATTTTATCAAACCAACTCAAAACATAGTGCTTAATTTATTTAATATCACATATCAAAACCAAGAAGCAAGTCGAAAATGCCACGCGTAATGGAGTATTTCTTTACCTCTTATAGCTTTTTGTTTTTAGAAAAGGAACTTTTCCATAGAAAACTTTCGGGTTACAGTTTTTTCTTAATTGATCAAGCCATAGCGCGTAAATAAAAATGTTTATATGTACTCACATACTAAGCGTTCTGTAGGCAAGTAGTCGTTACTTGTTAGAGAATTCAACAAGAAAAATTAAAAGTAACGTTATTCGACGTTTCCGATGTATCCAAACACTTAAACACTTAATGTTTTTTCAGTCTTGATAATGATGTTGGATACATCGAAACGTCGAATAACGTTACTTTTAATTTTCCTATTTGTAATACATGTTAAAATTGCTACATAGTGGTTTTGCCTCTTTTGCTGATAGGTGATAAAAAAGGCCAAAAAATGTGAGAGCGAAAGATGGAAGACTATCAGAGAAGAGGTCTTGGTGGAAATGGATAAGGAGATCAAGAGAAACATGCAAAAAATCCAAAAGGATCTTTTAGGACAGAAACTTGGTGATCTGAGGAGCTGTGTGATGAAATTTCTTGATGTGTCTCCTGTTGACGCCCTTAACGAGATATTTCAATGCTCCATGCAACTATTTTCAATCAAACATCAGAAAAAAATTTCAGAATTCTTAACCATCATCACAAAAGATTCCTTGGGAAGGCAGTTATTTCAGCTGGCTCTTGCTATGAGCTGCAAGCGTCTCCTTGGTGATACTTTTGAACAACTAGTGGCGAATGAAGTACAGAAACAAGTCGCCAGCGCTGTGGTTGAATGCCTCAATGAACCACCCACCCCTCCCAGTGAAGGTTTGTTGAATTGAACCTTGATTATTATGAAGCAAAGAACTCATAGCACCCAAAAACTGGCAAAACTTTGAATGTTATAGGTGAAGAATTATTGTTTTGCCTCGTTACGTATAAGAAGCGCACTTCTTGTAGATTTTAGATTGTTAAGTTGTAGTTGAAGCTAACCTACTGAATCTAAACAGTTGCGATATAATTTAAATAGGCTCTATTTGGTGATGTTTTAGTAAAGTCTAATCTCAGTATTATTTCTGTAATGGTCCAGATAAGAAGGTAAAAGCCAAAACGCAATGAGCACTTCGGAATGCAAAAAGGTGCTAACTTTACTCACTGTCTCTACAATGGTTCTGATTGGTTTAAACATCAAATTTTACGAAATCTTCGCAAAAGCAGCATGTTTATTAATCCCTTTTTTCTTACTCAACTTCTTTCTAACAAAATCTCGTCTAAGTCTAAGTAGCACAGAAAGCCTGTGTGCGGAACATGTAAATTGCAAACTTTTCTTGGCTGTTGTTTCCAACTCCGAGTGTGATTGGTTGAAATCTTTTAACACAAGAAACACCCACAAAAGTGGAGTTTAAATACATTTTATTTTGTAAACTGCCTTTTGGTAGGTTTATGCATGCTCTGCGTAAAAATGAAAACATTTCTGTGTGAGGAAAGCGTGTTGCGCCACAACAAAAGAAATTGCTTCCCTTCTCACCCGAATAGGATTTTAGGACTGATATGAAGGTTTGGTATCTGTTGTATTGAATGTGAAATTTTTCTTGTCATAGCTGAGTTTATCTTTTTACCTAGTCATTAATCCATTTCTTTGCCCTCTTTTTCACTGTAATGAAACAATGCACTCAATTGTTCTTTTTTACTCTACGTAAAGTGTAATTTGATTTGCTGTATGCTTACTTCCACTCTTCTTTATGAGCCATAGTCAATTTTAAAGATACATTCCAGGGCCGTAGCTAGGGGGGCATTATCGCGAGTGCCGAAGGGACGAACCTTGTTGGGGGTTCTAGGGGTATCCTCCCTCAGAAAATTTTCAAATTTGGAGGCTCGGAAACGCTATTTTCGGCACTTGTCATGAGATGTCACCGAAAAATCGACCTCGAATATGAAAATGGCAAACAATTGAGAGTCACTATAATGAAAATAACTTTGGTCGAAGAAAAAAGTTTCATAGAACCTCAGAAATTCATCCACAGACTTGATCTCCAACTGTCTGGCTCAAGTGTTCAACAGGTCAATGGGGAACCAACTGTCCCTTGAAACACGTGAGATGGGGGATCTTACTAGCTTTAAACTCGCCATATCTTAGGATATAACTTTGTATTATGTTTTTATCTTATTTCTTAACACTCATTTCGCTGTTATATTGTATTGTAAATCAATATAAAATTGATGATACCATGTCTGAAAACCAGTCGACTTTTAACGACTTGATTTGTGTGGCTCAATTACCCCTTTCCCCGCTGTTTCACTAAATGAATTGATGAGAACGCTCTTAATTACCTCTTTCTGTTTCAATAAATCATTGTAGATCAGAAGTCAATTTTTAGTTAATTTTTTCGTTACCTTTCATTTTCTTTATCTCCCTGCCTCCTAGATTACTTCGCTACCTGCCACGCCAGGTCAATGTACCTCAAACTATACCTATCCAATTGGCTAAGTAAGCCAAAAAGAATGTTTCTTTGTGTTGGACATTTGTGGGACCCTGTTCGAAATAGAGATGTCTAACTGAAGGGCTGAAAATGATGTTCATTTTTATTTATTTATTTTTTTTTGAAAAAGGCAAAGTCGTTGAAGAAGTAAAACAGTGGCTGGCTAAAGCTGATCACTTGGACCTTACGAGACTGGCACGTATTGAAGGAAATGTTGTCAGCAAATTTCCAGAATTTAACAGCTTCGAGGAGCTTGGTTATGGTTCTTTTCTGAAATTCTTATCATCACATAAGGAGCTTCAAGAGGCCACTGAGCAAGTTAGCGGGTTTGGTCGATCGGAAAGAAAAGGAACAATGTTTGGCCATCCAGTGTCGCTTCACAGTGTTTTAGATTTTGTATCTCAGTTTGGAACACAAACTTCACATGTAAGTTGTTACTTTCGAGAGATAACCTAGTAAGATTTTGACTAAGTAATATGTGCAATATTATTAAAGATGCATAGAGGGATGGAAAAAGGTTGTGAATGGGTGATATAGTGCTCTGTGTTGATCAGATTTGCGCGAGGCAGCGGGGTGAACAGAAATCATTGTATGGCGTCATTAAACTGTCTTAACTGAAAATCTTATATTGTAATGTTATGGTTACGTTGTACATGAATTACTTCTCGTGGGATTTTCAAACATCCCAACATGAATTTAAAACAATTCTCATGCAAAGTTTGAAGGGAGAGGGAGTAATGGAACGTATCATGGGGCAATAAAGTGGCGAGTGCTCGGATTTTTTTTCGTTTTATCCAATCAAAACTGGAAAGTCTTAAAAGACTTAGACAGGATAAGTAAAATACCCAATAACAAGGATTAGCACTGTTGGTTAAGGCGTGGCCTTCTGTACGGGTGGCTTCTTTTCGTGTAGCTTCAAGTAGCTTTAATGAGCGCACCGTCGACGTATGGTCTATCAGAGGACTGTTGCGAGTTACCGACATATAAAAAATTTGGAGCAGCACTTTTTTTTTTACCTTTTGCCTTTAACCTCAACGTGTCAAAAATAGCTCCTCTATCAATTTTTAGCGCTGAGTAGCATAATTTGTGATCTGGGCAGTTTTTCTTTTATGTTTTTATTTTCTTGATTTTTTTTAGGAGATCATCGAAAGGAGTCTTTGCACATACTACGGCATCAACAAAGTAACAGAACTTGAGTTTGGATCCTTCTCAAACATTCTGAAAAAAGCTAAAGATCGAAAGAAGGATTTGCTGCGATCAGCCACTCCATTAGTGGTATATGAAGTACCCTATATATGTCAAGACTCTGGTGCTAGCGCTGGTACAGAGGAACATAACAGCAGTGTTCTTGGTTATATGAGCAGAGAAGACGCAATAGCTGCAATTAGAAGCACTCCGCTGTTGGAAGATGTGGCGCTGTGGACTCACTGGGACGAAGTATATGGCGGTGATGTGTCCAAACTTGGCGACTTAAAGTCATTTTTGGAAAATGAAGAAATCCTTATAAACGCTGGCAAGTCATCCACGAGTCTCGTCCATGGGTCGGCTCTTGCTGTGATGGAAAGTTCACCAGGAGTACTGTTACGTGTAACTACCAAGACATCTACTGACATCTTCAGAGACTGCGCATGTCATGGTGATCCAGTTGGAGCCGCTGGTCATCTGGTTTCTATGGTGATGATGAATGGTGGTGTTGCTAACACTCCTGTTGCGCTCTTGTCAAATCACGTGCAATATGCACTAGCAGCAATGGCGTTCCATGATCGCTGCTGCAATTTTGTTCTCCAGTGTTTAGTGCGCATGCCTCGCAGACTAGCACAGGCTGTTGGAATGAAGGTGAGGCAATGTACATTTAGTATTTATTACTAACTTTAACAACATAATATTATTTAAGTAAGTGGATAAAGAAAGCAGGGGTAATTAAAAAGCGTGTCTTAACATTTTCCTTATTGGGATCTAAAAAATATTTACAAGACATCGTGTTGTTTCTTTATTCATTTTAGTTCTAGCTGGAACAAAAAGCCGCCGCATCAATTCTCTCCTTCTGAACATTACACCGTAATCCTTATCACAACCCAGTAGTTAAACATATTTCTTCCGAGCCAAGGAAGTGCGTCGGTGGCCTCTCTAACTCTTCAAAGCTTCTCGATCTTGATCTGCCTTGTCACTTAATTTTTAAGTCACCTGGCTTTTTTGTTCTATTTTTTTTTTCAGGTCTTTTATGAGCCCCTGAATAAGTTAGTTGGCTCAACCGAGGCTCCTTTGCTTCTTCTTTCGAACTGTTCGACCCAGATTCAGCGCAGCCGACTTCATCAACTGGGATTTGCTTTGGGCATAAGTCAATGGATTGAAAATTTTCATGAACAGGTCTCTGGGGAAGACGTTGGTTTCAGCCAAGTTCAAGAACAAAAGAGGCCGATTGCTGTGGTGAAACCTGTACCATCGTCTACTGAACAGACCAAACAGCTACAACCACCTGTAGCAGAGGTTAGTTAGAAGATAAAAAAGGTGTCCAACAGATCCTCATTTAATGATTCCTCTGACGTTCACTGCCTTTACAACCCGTACTATTTGTATCGCCTCAGTGTTGCAAGCGACTAATTTGGAAACAAGTACAAAGCGGTACGGTTAGAAAAATATAGCCTGGAGTCAAAATCCAAATTGCCCAGAATTTCAATTTCGGCTTAAAAATACGATTCTTTGTCGTCCAAGTGAAAGGGAGTTTATGATAAAGTACAGGACTGAACTACTGTTTTTGTTCTTACAACATCACAGGATTCTCTACCTGCTCTGGAAAATGTTAACGATTTAACAGTTCACTCCGAACAAGCAAGCATTGAAGTTGATGATGAAGAAGATGGTGTGTAGATGTATTGTCTTTCTTTTTTATGTCTCTCTGTGCAACTGTTCTTTGCCTCCGTAGCTAAAGTAAGGGTCACTCGAACCTCCCCGTGTAACAACTACCTGTCGAGAACGACCACCTTTACAGCACATCAAAATATTACAGTTAAGGACTGGAACCTCTCGTAAGCAACCACATCTACTCTCTTGACATGTGATGTACGTTTACTGTATGTATAACACAACTCAGAGTATGCCAGGCACGTTTAAGGGTAACAGTATACTGCTCGCATTGTAACTAAGAAAAAAGATGAAAATGATCTAACGGGGGTTCGATTGTTTAATCTATGCGTGAACACTTTACGTAAACGGAAAACACAGAGTCCGTCAGGAGGGTCTATCCACGATGGAGTTAGAAGTTGTTTATATTGTGCTGCGCAGTAATGTTCTTGAGTTCACATGACTTTATACCCAATGTTCTAAGGTCTTTTACGAGTATAGATTAAGAATTCCGCAAGTTACTCAATATCTAAACTCAAAATACTTTGATTTTTCTAGCTGTAACTGTGAACGTTGACACGAGTCTGGAACAGTCACTATCTGTTGCACTTGGCACTGAAAATGAAGACGAGTGCAAGGAAGTAATCGAGCAGATTCGCCGAGAAGAGTTTGGAATTGGTCTTGAACTTGGAGAAGAGGAATCCAAACTTGTCCAGCGAATAAGGGAGCGAGAAGGGCGTGGTTTACATCGTCTCTCAACAGAGCTTTACTCAAGGGATACACACTTTGTTCTGGAACTTGTACAAAATGCAGATGATAATTCCTATCCTGAAAACATCTCTGATACGGGGTACCCGTCTCTTGTATTTGTTCTCGAGCGAGATAAGATCGTGGTCCTAAACAACGAAGTTGGATTCATGGAGAACAATATTCGAGCGTTGTGTGATGTTGGAAGAAGTACAAAAGGGGCTCATCGCTATGGATACATAGGTGTGCTGTTTTTTTATTTAAAGGAAAAATACCAAAGCTTAAGTTTATCCTTAAAATAAATAGTTGTAAAGAGAAGTTTTTTTTTTTGATATGTTCAATAACCCACAGTTTGTAAAACTTACAGCTCTTCTCGTGTCTCAAACGCGGTAAGATGCCTCTAATTTTTTTTGTTAAACTAAACGCAATTTAACGAAGCAAAACCTCAATGTTTCTCTGTAGGGCAAAAAGGCATCGGATTTAAATCAGTATTTCGAGTCAGTGATTGTCCAGAGATCCATTCCAATGGTTTTCACATTCGTTTTAACGCCAAGAGTGGTTCTATTGGATACATACTTCCGCAATGGATTGAACAGGAATGCCAAGAAAAGCAGACGTGTGATGACAGAGATGAAAATACACCGGACAGCAAACTCCATGAAGATACTGACGCTGCAAGAGCTGAGTATGCCAGGTACAGTCATTTTAATCTCCTCTTTCGTTAAAGACGCATTTATCTCGTTTACCTCGTTTTTTCTTTTCTTTTTTTTTTTTCGGAAATCAGATGGTCTACTTGCATTGTCCTTCCATTGAAAGAGCAGCATCAAGGGATAGAAAAGACTTCATTAGCTGCTCGGTTCCGTGATGTCCATCCATCACTACTGCTTTTTCTCCATCGTTTGAGATCAATTAGCATACGAGACAAGGTAATAACAATATTGGCAGTAGACCGTAAGCAAGGTATTAACAATATTGGTGGTATACCGCAAGGGGCCAGCCGTGAGTAATAACTTGATAATAATACAAATTTCAAAAAGTATTGACATGAACATAACAAGAATCATTTTCAACGTTCAATTTCCCTTTTTTTTTTTACAGGTAAACAACATTTGCCGTGATATGATTAGGAAAGATTTAAGTGATAACATTATGGAAATATCTCACAGTCGTGGTACAGACCGCTGGTTAGTTATAAAGAAACAGCTGGATGCATCACATGTAAGAAGCTCGCAAACCTTGCTGGGTTATTTGCTCCTTTAGTTCCTTATCAATTTGTCCGGCTGTATTGCGATGTTTGTCCATACGGTCCATTGCTTTCGTGGTGCGAATGAAAGAATCCTTCATTGCTAGTCGTTCATGACCTGTTTTATTTTGTTTTCAGATGAAAGAAGACGTTGAGATGACGGAGCTGGCTCTGGGTTTTCCGCTTTTCGATGAGCAAAACTTAAGTTCAGGAAGAAGACACCAGGTATATTTAATCCCATTCTTGATACTGATCAGCCTTGACAAGGCTGGTGGTGACAGTGATTTCCTAACATTTTTCCAAGCTATTCAAAAATCATAGTTTTTAAGTAATCAGTTTATCATGAGTTGACTTAAATCTTCATTCAGCTAACACCTGTTAATATTGCAGTTCCTTTGAAAGCAGTGGTCAGCTCTATTTCAAACTTGCGCGATCTTTTAAGACGTATAAGACATTAACAGTATCATCTTGTCCATACCTCACATACTTTTTCTCGTTATAAACAACTTCTAGACATAAGTTTTATTTTTGCAGTCGACGTGCCTGTTTAGCATATATAAGAATTTTAGGCTATTTATCTGTCACATCTCGTGTCATTTTGCAGAAGTTGCCGCAGCAACACGTGTTTGCTTATCTCCCGCTCCGAAGCTATGGGTTTCGGTTCATAATTCAAGGTGACTTTGAAGTGCCTTCATCCAGGGAAGACGTTGACAAAGATAAATCATGGAACCAATGGCTAAGAGAGGAGATTCCTCAACTCTTTGTTGACGCTTTATCCATTTTTATGGTAGGTACTCAAAATTATCTTTTTCTTCTAATGGAATATCGGCTTGTTTCCTTTTTTTTGTTGAATCTGCCTTTAAGATACTTCGCGTCCTTGCGCCATCCCCTCCTTTGGGTCACTGACCTTCGTTTTATTTCGATTATCGCAGCCAAGACTTGTTTACGTCAATCTACGAGCAACCGTTTGCTTATGAATAGGGCCCAAAACTGAGATCCGCATTTTGTACAATGGAGCAGTTGTTTTCAAACTACACATGCCCATCCCCTCCCCTAACCTTACATGCAAGGTTCAACCCGTGTCTTTTCCAGACATTCAACATTGTATCGGGTGGAAGGGTGGGACCGCAAAGCATTTGATAAATAATAGCACTGCTTTAGGAAGGTATTCTAAAACAAATGGCATGAATGTCCCAGGGTCTTTTTGTCCAGGATTGTCTTAACTTTTGGTCGTGCTCGTTTTGTATTTTTCTACGCTCTCTTAGCATCGTGGACACAAGCAGTTAAACTTACGAGATTTCGACCACCTTTAAAACAGCGTCATAAGTTACTTGCACAGCCATTCCCAAAAATAGCTAGTACGGACCAAGTCCCCTATGAGCAAGAGCAGAGTAAGAAACCAGACTATAAACCAACAATCTGAGAAAAATGGACGTTATCATGTCTAGTTTCAAGATAAAGCTTTTGAAAGCACTGACAACTACAAATACTCACCCTCCCCCCCCCCAAAAAAAACAATTTTGAAGTCCGGCTGGATCATTTCTGATCCCGACTAAACAACTTTGATAAGGGTGGGGCGAGGGGAGGGGACATAGCGGTACCATACCCGCGGGATAGGCGTTCAGTGGATAAGAAAGTGCAAAATTCTCAATTTTTGAAGGGTCTTTAACAAGTCAAGCTGGTGGTTATGCTTGCTGTTATGCTTGTTAAGACCTTGTCAGAGTCGGAGAAGCCTCATGGAATGAAAACTTTCTTAACTTCTCCAAAGAGAAAAGACTCGGAGAAAGGCAAAGAAACATTTCGGGAGTTTCACTGCAGCAGTTCTTGAGTTGAAAATGAAAGCTCAACTACCGGATAAAACCCAAAAAGCGCGCACTGTGAGGCAATCGTAATCCTTAAATTAAGCTATCAGGTACCTTTAAAAGCGTCGAAGAAATATAACATAAACATCCTGAACGTAATGCTTGGACTCTGTAATCCGTTTTGTTTGCTTGATAAACTTCTATTGACCGTCCTGTGCGCGCGGCATTCTTAAGACGTACCTATTCCGTGTGAGATGGCGAGCGTATCCAGTGCAGTGCCTTGTCTCCGCGCGACGTGCAAGAGGTCTATGCAAGGAAAAGCAGATTAAAATATCCATGGTACTTTTCGAACATCTGCGGAACGAAGTTCCGCCGGTGTGCCCTTTGTTGTTTAGGAATGGGCCTGTTTCGGGCCCACAGAAGTATATTGGCAAAGTCAATAAAATAAAACAAAACAAAAATAAGCATAAAACAATGCAAAGCCAGGATCGATTTTATTTTTCTGTTTCAGGAGCACTCATCCTTTTCAAGACTGTCATGCGCGGCTACGTACTTCCAATTTATCCCTCTTGAAGAAGAAATCTTAGGTTTCTTCACACCTGTCGCTAAGCAGATATTAACTCTTCTTCAAGGCAAGTCTTGCGTTCCAGCCACATTGGTCAGTCCAGAAGCGGAACAACCACAGAATGTACAGAATAGCTACGAGTGGGTCCTTCCTTGCGAGGCAATTTTTTGTGATGACCCTATAGTACAACAAGCTGTCAGTGCCTCTAAACTCAAGGAACACTTGGGACTACGATACCTTCATCCAGGTATATCAGCAGCCCTTAATCCAACCCTAAGATCACGACTTGGAATTGAGACGTTATCAAGCAAGCACTTGATTGAAGTCGGCAAGGAGGAGGTGAAAAAACGTTCCCTCGACAGCGACTTGACCATATCCGATGGCGGCGAACGCAAAATCGATGTTGGAAAGATAGCTTGGGTGGCTCAGTGGTTACAGTGTATGTACAGAAGTCTTGATCAGGAGCGAAACAGCAGTCAAGACATGTTGGATATGATTAGTTCTCTCACTGTTATCCCCTTAACAGATGGAACTTTCGTTGATCTTAAGGGAGATTGTGTTTTTCTGCCGTTGTCAATGAAGCTCGCAGGAGAAGCAGCCTCTAAGAAAAAGAAAAGTTCTAGTAAGTAGAGAAAACTTGTCATTTGTGTTTGTTAAGTATTGTTCAATTACTCTTCTAGGTTCATTGGGTATCCAACCTAGTGTCCACGTTATCAGCCACGTTTGTCTTGTATGCTCTTGTGTTTGATACAGAAAATTAGGTAGACTTCCTGGGTTTTAGAACTAGGAACACCGTTGAACGTTTTTAATAAATGGGGAAGTTTTATAGGTTGAGTGTGGGGCCCTATAAGCCTTACTAACAAACGGAGAAAAGACCTACTGCGGATATAATCCTTTGTATCGCTTCTTGTTCGTTAATACTCATGACGAACAAGTTACATTGCTCAGAATATAAGATTTAACTATTACATTGCTTTCGTTTTAGGTGCAAAATCTAATGAACAGACTTACTTTAGTGTTCTTGAGAGAGATCTGTCCACTGTGCATCCAGCTTTGTTTTCTTCACTTGATGATATTGGTCGCAGTCAGGTGGAACAATTGTTACGCCGCCTGGGTGTCAAGAGTTTGAGTGCAAGAGATCTCATCAACAGTCACATACTACCGACTTTAAAGTCTGACAAGTGGAAGGTGCGTGAACTAATTTAGTTTGTTAATCACTACGTTCTCTTTCTTCAGTAAAATCTATTACTACAATTTTTTTTTCAGCAACATAAGAGAGAAGAGATTTTTGTTTAAAAACAAAAGTTAAATTGTGCATAGTAGAACGCGCCTTAAGGGACTTCCAACTTAATTGGCGTAACAGTTGATGGTGACTAAGAGTGCTATCCTTCTGAAAAATTCTTGCAGCCCTCGTTTTAATTTGTTCTAAAGAATTATATCTAGAAGGAGCTAAGGTGTTCCAAAGAAAATCGCAATAATCTAACTTGGGAAGTATCATGGTTCTAAAGACTCTTTCCACTGCATAGACCGTCAAGTTATTACTCCTTTTCTCAGTTTCGATTGTTTTAGAGCTGATCATGGTGGCAAAATATCTCTTCCCGTAACTTAGTTTCGCGAAGACAGTAAGTGGTTCTTCTGACAGTGAAAATAAATCTTTATTTTGCTCCGGAGACAGTAACACTGATCCAAACAGAAAAATGCTTAACTGTCTTGCTGTGGAAACCACAAAAACAAACGGGGCTTTCTGTACAACGTATTTTAAAAAGATAATAGTTAAGCGCACAAGTGACAAAACGTGGAAAATTGCATTAAATCTATCAATAGCAAAATCATAAGTAGCGTTATAACTAGGCACATTGTAAAAGGAAGATAAAGCTTGTTTAAAAGAACCAATGGATTCATCAGGAAATGCTCCGGTCGTAAAAACCTTTGTTATGCCGTCAGCACAAATTTTAGATGCGTGTGTTGTGAGACTTCGATAATTTTTGTGTCACTGTAAAGTAAATTCGGGTGAAGTGGCTTCATTCGTGTTACTGAGAAGGTCATACAATCAGTCTTCGTGGGGTTGATAGTAACAAGCCATTTCCGAGCCCAGTCTTTGATCTCAGAAGTATCATTATTAAGTTTTAGCGAAGAAGTGACTGCGTCATCTACAATGTCAAAAAGAGAGGTTTTGTTACCTATACCATTGCTTCAGTTCGACGGACCACTCGAATGAGGGTCTTTGTTGAATGTTGACACTGCTTCTGAGTTTGAAAATGTTAATTTCCCGATTCAATCTAGTAAACACGACCTTTTAAATTATTTTAGAAAAGGCACTTAATATTGAAACAGGATGATAATTTGATTTCATTTAACGGTCCTCCTTTTTGAATATTGGAGTAACATTAGCTTGTTCGACAAAAATTTTAATCGAGAAATGTTTTGTTAATGTTGACAGAATATAATCAAAATCAGCAGGAACAAAAGGTGAGCGGTCGTCTAGACGGCTCTGGCTACAAAAGAACTCATTCAGTAATTCTGTTTTGTCCTTTGCATCGCAAATCATGTTTGAGCCCTCAACTAGAGTAGGTACTGTAGCATGTGAGATAACAATGCCCCACCACCATTAAGAACTTTTAGCCGCGTTATAATTTTTGATCCTTCCACCTCCCCTTCGGCGATGCGGCGTATCCCCCTGTCCGTTGTCTGCCTTACGACCCTCTGCCTTTTCAAAATCTAGCTTCCCATAACTTAGTTTCGCGAAGACAGTAAGTGGTTGTTCTGAAAGTGAAAATGGTGTACTATCCGATTATCAATCCCGCTCTGTAATGTTATAACAGCAAATCCGCCATGGTAGTCATCTAATGTTTTGAACTTTGGTGCTTTGCAGACGAAGTCGAAGGAAGTCTTGAGAAGCTATCTTGTTTACATCCTTGAGCAGCGTTTGAGTGATCCCTCAGTGTGTGACATCAATGAACTGAGATCATGTGTACAGATTTTGACCAACAAGGGCCCTGTTAACCCAACCAATAATTCCATTTACTTTACAAAAAAGTTTGGAAACACCATTGATCTTGCTCGTCAGCTTTCCAGTAAGAATTTTTTTCTATTTCCCTTTTTGATCAGTCATTTCGATTTCTTTAATCTTTTGTCTTTCTTACCTTGTTTACCAATTTTTCGCATGGAATTATGGAATTGTTGTTGCATCACCATTACTTCTTCTCTATCTAGTTGAATTTCATTTTCTCTTAAATGTGAAAAACGGTGGTAAAGAAATTTTCACTTTTTCTTTTGAAACGTCGCTTTGTGGCCGTAGAAATGTGTATGTACGTTAATTCACTTATTCGTTACATGCATTGTATTCTTTCTTTAAGGTATTTCCTGGATTCTTATCGACGAATCATACTTGGACTCATGTACAGGATCTAAAGCTCGTATCGTCGACTGGAAAGCTTTCCTCTCTGAGCTTGGAGTTCAACATTGTCTTGCCATTAAAAGGAAGCAAGTGAAACTTCACAGAAACAACATGGTGAGATTCCTGTTACACCCGGTTAAAACTAAGGAGAGATATTACGTGGATATCTTTTGTCTCATCTTTAAAGAGCGACGGTCAGGAAAAATCGAGCAAAATCTTAATTTCTATTAGGTAGATAAGAAACCTGATGTAGATTGTTCCTGCCAAAAGCGTTTTATTTTTTGAAAAAGTTAGAAGATCGGGTTTTGGTGTCTGAGTCTCCAAATTGCTCAATTTTTAACCTGAAATTCGCTAACATCAAATTTCTTCGCGTTCGCAAACAAAGCCACATGGAGAAATTTCGAAACTGTCAATGATCAGAACGATTGTTTTTCTTTCACTAGAAGATACTTACAGGGCAATTGCGAGGCTCGTCATACTGAAATAATTCGAAAATGAGGGATAGGTTTTAATGATAACAATAACTTATTTTGTTACTCGTTTTCGACGGCAATATGTAACAAGTGGTACATCTTCAAACTCTCTTCGTGCTATTTTCAAATCACTTATTTAGACATTCATCTAAAAAATACCCGGGAATTGGTTTGGGTTGTTGAAGGAAATCTCTGTAAGACGCCGTTAAATCGCCAAGTCAACTTGAAAGTATTTGACCATCATAACAACTCGTACATTTCTTTAGAATGCAACAATCTTGTCAAATATCTAGGTGTGCTTATTAGCCTCGCTTGCGTAAGCAGCGAGATTCGTAATCTGCAATGCGTTTTTCTTCGTATTTAGGACACAAAAGGGGAGTCATTGTGCTAGGCGTTCCTAGCGGAGACAGTGCAAACTGGAACTAAGAATCGTTGGGTGACTGAAGCCACGCATGTTTTGCGAAGAACGCTTAGGAAATATTAAATATAGAGCTTTTCGGAAGCGTGTCAGTCCACGAATTCTATCGCTTGAAAGCGTTGATTATTTTGGAACAAGTGAACACTACTGAGTGGTCGAAGAAAAATATATATAAAATCTTAATTAGCAAAACTGCGATGGTCGGGTGTTGTAAATTTTCACTGTATGCAAAAGGCTCTTGTGATGAGCATGCGGCTTATTGTCGGCGATGATTGAAATGACGTGCCACGTAAATCACTTTTTTGATCCGTGACAATGATATAATTTCTCTGGAGTCGAGGCCGTTGAATTTTCGTGTAGTTATACACGCGTATAGCCTGCGACCGCAGACGTATTTCCGGTCGTCGCTAACACGCGTACTAAATCAATTCAGAAACAAATAAAAAGTGTCGACGTCGATAAAGTAGGAAGTAAGGAACCGTCAGCGAGTAAATGCTGTAGAATTAATCGCCTCCTCGCTTCTCGATCTAATCTCCAAGTAAGCGAAATTGAGGCCCGTTGTCAGTGAAAATCTTTCGTGGAAATACCATATCGCCCACATCGCTTCAAATTATTATATTACACTTTGTACCCCTGAATACTTTACACCACATATACATATCTCATCTCTTATCCAGCCCTACTTATTGTATGGCATAGTCACTGGGGACAAAGCTGCTAAAAACTGTACAAAAACAAAATTCTTATACTTCTAAAACACGCCCTCCGCCTCAAGTTCTTCGGTGACTACAATTCTCATGCAGTACCTTATTTTGTCTCCTCTAGCTTTCTTCCTTTAGATCCACTCTACTGACTTTGCTACTTTTTCTACTGATTATTCTAATGCAGATATATCTAACAGCTTAACACCTACTAACATAATATAATAACAATAATAATATACAATATTTATAGAGCGCTAATTCCCAATGGTCCAAAAGCGCTAATACCTAAGTTATTTGCTTCCAAACCTAATATTCATTCATATAATACAGGATCATCTTCAAGAGATGATTATGATGTTAAACACTCAAGATTACACAAACAAAGTCTTTTTCAAGATATGGTGTAAAAATCTGAAATAGTCTACCATGTGAAATACGTCAAATGTCCAAAAATAATTTACTCCGAATAATTTCAGAAAAAAATGATTATATTGATTTACCCGACCAAGAGCCATAATAGGATTATGATCTCTTGACCCGACTCAATAACAAAAATTTCCCGAAAACTCGGCTTCCTATATTTGCAATATACATGTACATGATGGTTAACTTAAATGACTTAGTAACAAAAATTTCCTGAAAACTCGGCTTCCTCTATTTGCAATATACATGATTGTAAACTTAATTGAATAGAATTTATTTTTATTTAGTTAACATTTTTTACCCTTTTCTCTAGTCTTGCTTGTGAGCTATTTGTATATAAATAAAGTAGTGTAACCACTGCTCGCCTCGACTAGCTAATCTGCTAACTACGGGCAGTGGATATTGCTTGCTGTAAAATTTGCAATAATTAATAAACAGTTGAAAGTAAGGCCAATTTGAGCCTCCTACCACGGAAAACGGATATTCTTACTTTTCTCGAAAATAAAAGGCTTTTGGGGAGAAAAATTTACATCAGATTACTTATCTACCTAAAAGCTATATTTGGACGAAAAACGTGAAAGAAATCGATTTTTTCAACTCCTGCCACTCGATGTACGTTCGATATTTCCTGACCGTCGGACTTAATCACAAAAAAGGAATAGTATATGTATTATTACCCCATGCCATAGAGATTACAGCCACCAAAATACGTCTAACAGCTCGTGTGTATTCAGACTTAAAAGGATAAGTCACGCATAGAATATTTCAAGGTATGCCATCCGATCGCATTGCTTGACTTGTATGGCCGGGTAGGGTTAATTTAATCGTGGAGCACTTCAATATCCTTAAGACATAGAGACTAAGGCTTGTTACTTGATTTCGTATATAATATGTAATTTTGGAAACCACTTTCAAAGCTATCTGAAATCGACTCACTTCAGTGATAACTGGTAAGTAATTTTGCAAAATGCTTGACTACGGTTTTTATTGTAAAGTAGGAGTCAAGGAAATCAAATTTCACTTCATAGTTTTCATTAGTAGGAGATCTTTGTCACCCTTTTCCACCTTTTTAGGCACAAACTCCCTGGGCGTTCAACGAAGCAGTTTGGCAAACAACTCCAGACGGTTGTTACGTCGTCGAGGACTGCGCTTGCGAAGAATTTGACGAATTTCTGAGCAAGATTACTGAACCGACTGCTGACCGTCAAAGCATCGGTTGTCAATCCACTATTCTGGCGCAGTGGATCGACGAACGCTGGGATAGCGAGTATTCACAGTACGCAGATGCCTTGGTACGCGTCAAAGATAGCAATGACCATGTTCTCGGAGAAACTCGTTCATCCTTCTATTTAAATCTTGTTTTGAAACCATGGATGTCAGCCAGCGATGGGCAAACAATTTACATACCGAGAGACCTTTTCATCTGGAATGAAGCGGTTGGCAGGCTACTGGAGGATCACGTGAAGTATTCAGCGGCTGATTTAAAAAACAGTAGATTTGTTAAGACCTTGCAAATTCATGAATCAGTTACTGTGGATGGTATGATAAGCGAGATGAAGAAGTGGTCTACTGCTTCAAGCGTAACTAACAAAGAATCCCCAACAAAAGAGTTTACCACATCACTGGCACACATGAGTGAAGTCTACTCTTTCTTGTACGACAAAATGGTGCAAAACGAGGAACAAAGAAAGAAAGTGTGCGATGCATTTCTTAAAAATGCATTGGTGTTTGTCCCGTTTCGGTCGTCGTCGACATCATGCATGAAACCTCAACTAAAGCATAAGATATCTGGCTCGTTTTACGTTTTGAAGGATGTCTGCTGGCGAGACCCGACTGAGGTAGCTTTAAAGCTACTCAGGGACCACGGCAAAGTAACAACAAAGCATCTGCTGGAGGGATTTTACCACAGTTTGTCCAAGGCGTCTGGCCAGCAAAGTCTTGCAACTTTCTTCGTCGATCAACTCAAAGTGGACGAAACACCCAATGTGGATGAGTACCTTGAAATGGCATCAACTGTTGCTGAACTTGCTGTTTTGCCCTCTCCGTTGCCATTGAATGACATGTTGAAAGTATTTGCCATTTTAGGTAGGAAATGTATTGCACGCGGCCACAGAGATAGCGTACCTATAGAAAGCGAAGTTGACGTAAATATGGCGTCGTTTATCAGACAGTCCTTGGATACCAGTCTCAAATGCATTTTTCCTTCTTCGGGGAAATGGGTTTCACTTTCAGATAAGCCTCTTCTACTCGACAACAAGTCTCTCGGCAAAATTTTTCAGAAGGAAAGTGGCGTTCACTTCATCGACGTCGGCGATTTTTTTCAAGATCTAAGGAAGCGTTCCACCGTGGAAAATCGTAAGTTTGTGAACGAAAAAGAAGAAATGAAGCACAATGTTTCCCTGTTTTTGAAAGCTTGTGACATACAGCGGTTAAGTGAATGCGTAAAGAGAGATTTTACCCCCACATTAGTAAAGTACCAATGTGTGCCTCTACAGAAGTATTTTCATCAGATGATACCAGCGGTGCAACGTTTTCTGTATTTCAAAAAACAACCAGTGTATGAAGAACTGAAAAATGAGAAATTTGCAGAAAAACTGCAACAAATGCAGTTTGCTTCGGTGGAAAAATTGGAAACAGTTTATTCACTTAGTACTCACCCCGATATTCATATTGTAATTGAAGAGAAGTCTGGCGTCGAACCTGTGGGTTCCAGCTTCTGTTTTTATGTAGCAGAAGAGCACCAGGAAAATTATGATGTCTTGCATGGTGAAATGGTGAAACTGCTACGAGTGAAGAGGCAGGACTCCTCGGACCTCAGCAACTTCCTGGTTGCTGTGAAGAATTACAGTGGTGGCGACTTTGAGTTCTTTTTAGAAGAAGTCCAAGGCTTAGACCCTTTACCCGATGAAGAAGAACCTTGGTGTGTGCCCCCTCCTCAAGTACTGGAAGAAGTTGTACAAGAAGCTTCGAAAGACGTAGTTCCGAGTCTTAACGCAAATATTTCATTTCCAAACCGAGTTGGCGATGATGGTCTTCATTCCTGGCCTCCAAAGTCCTCCGCACAATTTGACAAGACCTTAAAGCGTGAAGCAGAATTGAATGGCGACAATACTCTTAAGATGTGGCCACCCCCAGCGCCTCCTGATTCTGTGAAGAAATCTTTGGAGGAGAAAGTCCAAATCCAAGGACGACCAATTCAGCCTTTAGTCGATACGGAAAGACCAAACGATCGAGAAGGCACGAGAGAACCAGATGACAGGACGGAGGTCATGCCTCGGCGAAACAGTAAGAGTCTAAACATGGAAGCAACAAACAGGGAAGAGAATTATCAAACTTCCTCACCGAATGATCCAAATCCTGTGAAAGTTAATGATGTTACTTTAGAAAGAGTTGCAAACGATTCGCTTTGTGATGAAAAAACGGAAAGTGTGCAGGATGTGTTACCTTTGGGAGCACAATCTCTACCAAATCCTGAACGGATCTGTACCCTGCCAGTCCCCGCATGTGATGCAAGGCAAACCTCACCCCCTCGCGCTTATCTCAGTTTCAACGAAGAGGCATCAGAAGTAGACTACGATGATCTCTCCTTTAATGATGGTGATCTTAAAGTCTTGAATGGTATACAACTTGGTGAGAACCCAAACAGCGAAGAAGTCGGTCGATGGGGAGAACGATGTGTTTATGAGTTTCTTCTCAACCAAGTCCTTCCTTCAGCTGAAAATGTGGATATTATTTGGTTGAACGAGGAAGCTAACACTACTGCACCTTACGATTTTGAGATTCGACGACATATTACTGGAGTAAACCAAGAGGCCGAATCCAAGACCGTTATCACCTATATCGAGGTCAAGACGACGTCCTCTGATCAGAAGGAATTTTTTGAAATTTCTGTTCCAGAGTTGCGGTTTGCGTTGGAGAAAAAAGAAGCGCTTCACTTGTATCGCGTTTTTAACGCTGGAAAACCAAGATGCTTGCGAATCCGTCGCCTAAAAAATCTTGCCTCTCATCTGGAAAAGAAAAATGTTAAACTGTTCATGGCAATCTGAGTGTAAGAAATATGTAATTTTTTACTTTATTTGTACTTTCCATCTGTAGCCTGGACGCAAAATGGAAAACTGCTAACATTCTTAGAGCAACAGAATAGGTCATTTTTTGTTAATTCCACACCTTTCTATGAAAGATAGATATGAGGTGAGCATTAATCAATGTTTGTTATATTAGAAGTTGTTGAGTCGTTTGATTTAGAAAAAAATATTTATTTTGTCTTTATACTAATCATGCTGTTGTTCTGCGAACCTTAATTGAAAAGTCTTGCTGAGAATTAAAACGAGGCTTCTTTGCTAAATAGATATTACTGGAACTTTTTGATATATATCCTTTTTGCTGGACGTTTCCGCGAATATAATTTTTATGAGACCTTGGAACAATCCCTGTCTCGCTGTATATATTATTTTGGTTGTTTCGTTTTTAACTCGTGACATGTTTATTAAGTTAAAAGAAACCTGAGTGTACTAATTTTAAGTAGAAGCTTGTGTATTTAGTCTTAGACTCTGATCTTTTTAAGTAGCTTTTACGGTTGCTGTAAGGGGCAAAATATTACTTAGGTACGAAAGTAGTTTTCTCAACTTAAGCAATTTATTTTTAGCTTTAATGAATTCATTTTAAGTACCGTAAAAACCTGCAAGTAAGAACCTGGTTTGTAAGAACCTGTTAGGCTAAAATTTGCAAGTTAGGCCTACCCTATACAAGAACCTGTTTAGCACAAAGTTTGAAACGGGTACTTATTTCCTAAAATCTATTTTAAAAAACTATACCCATGGGCAAATAAGATAAGCCAACATTCAGAAACCTCTTTGGAGACGTAGGTGCCCTATCACTCCAACTACAATGTAATAGTATGTAGATTTTGTAAAAGGAATAAGCTGAATACCACTAAGTACTCTTAGCTACGATAAAGTTTTTCTATAGAAAATAAGAACCTATTTAAGAACCTAAGTAACCTTAATTCTTGTGTTGATATCCATTTATGTAGAATCTTTTTAGGCTAACTTGGGAAAATGCAGGCTCTCACTCGCGGGTTTTTACTGTTTTACTATCTTGAGAAAAATGGAACATTTTAATGTCAATTATTTATCGAAGGCACCAAACCTTCTAAAAAAGGGATCATGTAGCGAATGATGTTATCTTTAAAATAAACGAGTAGACTGTATTTAATTTGAACTCAATTGCTCACTGTCCTCATATTAACTCATTTGTGTTATGTATCTGAATGGGTTCGAGGTGTTTTTTGAAGACTTGTAGACGTAAAAATCGAGTGTAGTACAACACATACATAAGAGAGGGCTTTTGCTACCAGGCGCTCAGTTAGGTGAAGCAGAATAGTACCGTGGCAAAACAGCCGACATTAACCACCACTGGTCTCCCCGCGAAATGACGTCTGAGAAACGAGTGCAGAAATGAAATACTGATCACGCGTCACTAACCAGATCTGGGTAGTGCTTCTAAACGGTCGTGTCGTGTGGGAGTAAAACAAAAAGAACTGCGTTATTGATCCCTGAACTTCAATGTGTTTTCTTCCGCTTTATTCTCTCCAGCCTCGGAGCCAAGTGTGAATTTTCATGTATCCAAAGTAGTCTGTTGTCCCCTCCATATTCTCATCGTATTTGCCTGACAAAACAAAGAAAATATGACAAATTTGGCGGCCTTAACTTGTCGATCTTAGTGAACGTCTTTCATATTGTTCGTGGATAGTTAATGAAATGAATGAACGAATTAAGATCAAATGCTGCGACTGCTAGGCTACTTACATTGGTGAAACCGGCAGAAACCTTAGACCGCCTACTAATATGGAATCTTGATAATATTTCCTTATGAGGTCCATTACTTTATAGTGGACGTCAGTTTCATTGTCAATCATGATCATCTTATTCCAGGGACTATCAAATAGTTTGTATTGACCATATTTACGGATAGATGGGAGGACTTGTGACGTTACCCAATGTTTGAACTTTTTTGTAGTTTCTAATCTAGAGGATAATACAAGGGAGTAAAACCCAGATTCATTTACGAAAGTATAGTAACGATTCTGTGCTTGGGACCTGCCGTCCACGTTTTGTGGACGCCAGCTAATCAGTTGTCTATCCTCGTTATCAACATGCTTTAATAATGCATCTCTTGTTTTACTATAACCGAGGATCTCAGTAATTTCTTTTCCTCGGAACCAAAGATTTTGCTGACTATCAATACACGAAGTCAGTTCGATATTCATATCTTGACTGATATACTTATTTTCAATCATATTTACCATATATATATAGGTTAGATAATTATTATCATACAGGCCAATAAACATGGTAAGTATGATAGATAAAGAAGTATGCTAGGCCTGAGGTGCCGTTTCAGCACATCAGACATGAGGTCGCGTTTTACGACCCCAACAAAGGTGCCTCACTTTTGTTTTCCTGCAATATCACTATTTGTTGACGCCCCGTTTCAGGGCCCCAACCCACCATACCCATTTTAGGGACGCTGGTAGTTTACTCATTCTCCTCCTCTTCCTCTGTTTCAAAGATCGGACCTAGGACGCCTGTTAATGACATTTTTACTGTTTCCAGATCTCTTGTCAGAAACTCATAAGTTTCTGTTTCTTGTGGTGTACTGCCTCGTTTCAAAGCCCTAGCTTCTTACGTAATGAAATAAAGCTGTTCATTCATTCAACACGTTTCCCGATGATATTTCGTGTAAGCCCCGTGTACTGCCGTAGCATGAGGCGAAGGAGACTATATTAGGGCAAATATTAGGGCGACTATGTGTAGATCGACTACCATGAACTACTGACTGGGAACAATCTGTGAAAACAACTGAATTGGAGCTGAGTTGGAGGTGGAAATGTGACACGCATTCAGATTTTCTTTGTTTTAGAAAGTGGACATTACGGAACTTTGCATTTATTATTAATAATTACGACATAGTTTTTCGATGCCGCCATGTTCTCGCCTCGTGTTTTGCCAGCTTTTTCAAAAAAATATCTGAAGAGAAATGCTACAGCTACACGACTGCGTTAAGTTCTTAGACAGTGAAATTAATTTATGCTGGGCCACACTGGGCTACTCCTTTTAAAATAACTTAAACTCTGTCCAATCTTTGCTTAAACGCTTCCAATATGCCAAGTGGTTTGCTGTCCCTCACAGACGAGAAGTTAACACAGCTGAAGGAACAGATCATCAGGATACTAAAGTCCTGCGATGAACAAAGCCTAGAGCTTCATGTATTTAAAAAAGTGTATAAGGACACCTATGGGAAGAGATTCGAGGTGCACTTTAGGGAGCTGAAGTCAAAAAAGCTAAAAGATGTCATGGAAAAACTAGATTATGTTACTGTACTGGAACAATCAGGTAATGGTATAATTCAGATAAAACTGAAAGATCAAGTTGAGGATAGCTCGAGTGTGCCTGGACGTGTAAATTCGTTTTCAAGTACATATTCTGAAGAGAGTATTTCATTGGTTTATAACACAACTCAAGGTCCTCCAATGTCACTTGTTGCTGCTGCGGCATTTGAAGGTCAGTGCAGTACTGTTATGCACCTTTCATTTGAAACGCCCACTATCCCCCCTCCCCCCCCCCCTTGGGGATGACAGGGGTAATGTGGGGCCTTTCACTTCATATTTAGTCCATTTTTGTTCTCCGGTAGGTGGGGGGAATAGCTAGAAATCATGGTCTTTGTCTCTCAGACCAGGGAATAGGCGGGGCAGCCACTCTGTTGTCAGTCGTTTTCATTTTTGCACAGCATAAAAATTTTGTATACATTTTTATCGCTTCTTGCAGCAAAAGAAATATTCTTTGCGAAGTGTATTTTTATGGTTTGAAGTTGAGTCGCATGTTATTTAAGATGCAAACACAGTTTTTGTACCATTTATAAAAGAGGTTCATGTCTGAAAAGTGGCCCTATTGTGTAAACCCCATTCGCCCCTTTCAGTTTTTTCAGAAAAACATGTTTTGAAGCTATTTGAGCGGTTTTCTAGTCACTGTTTGGCTATAAAGAGCTTAAACTTACCACAAAGCTGTTTATACTTCATGGCCTTCTGACCTATATGCAAAATATTAGATTGCAAAGTTTGAGCGTGCACCAAAAGCAAACATTTTTGGGTTTAAAAGTGACACAGCAGCCTTGATTTTTTCTTTTCGCTTTCTCCCCTACCCTCTTCTTTCGCTTTTCTTACCTCATTTTTTTCTTTTGCTCAGCAATTAGTAGGCTTCATTTTGATGGGAATTATTTTTGGGAAAGCTTTTAGGATCTTTGGATAATTAGATGAAAGGGAAGGTAGGTGGGCAGTGAAGCAAGATTTTCATGGAATTTTCGGGTCAGTGTTGTCGTAGGTTTTTGCTTTTTTCTTTTGTCTTCTCAACTGAATTGTGCTCATTCTGGTATGGATGAAAAGATCACTTCACCCTGCACACGCTAGTAGGCAAAGTTATCCTTGACCGTTAAAACTGATGACGTCACAAGAAGTAGAAGGGGTGTGGATCTGCACAGGCGGTTAGGGGCTTTCAGGGGCGAATGGATTAATAACTAAATTATATGATGTAGTTGTATTGTGGAAATGACGAGAAAGACACTTGAAATGATTGAGCTATTCTAAAAAAATCTCCAGAAGACTGTTAAACATGAGTTATAGTTTGTTGTTATCCTGCATTTTGTGACCTCAAGTTGTAAAATAGAAAGATCATTTTGCAGTCTTCAACAGTTGTCATTTTCCCTCTCCATCAAGGGTTTGCGAGTGTCGCAATAGCTGCTCTGAAATCATTGCATTCTTTCACGGCTATTATCACATTTGTCGTCCCTTGTTATGCTTATATAGCAATAAGATCGGACTCTACTTTCTTTGCGCACTGCAATTATGTTTACCTATTATAATTTGTAGGTGGAAATATCAATTTTGGTTAAACCTCTTAATTGTTTTTGGGACAAAGAACAAAAGAAACCAGAAAGATTTCAAGATCAAGCTATAGGGCCTTATTTTGTTGTGTAGCTATATATTTAAAAT